GCACATTACTATACTTTTTGGTAATGTACATGACCATGTTTGATAATGTAAATGCATTTTAACTTTTATTTTGGGAACAAAAACATGAAAGTCTTATTTTGGTTTATTTTCAGTGTTTATTCCTACTTTTATCTATTTCTTATGATCAGTAAGGGTATGAATATAACGTTTTGAAACCACAATGACTAATTATGTTAAAATGAATCACGCAACGCATAAGTGTAATACTAGTAGATTTTGAAAATAGAGAAATTGAATCAGACGTTAGAAAATTGAATTTACTTTCCAAAACTCTTTCAGGGCATTTCCAAACTGATTATCAAAAAAAGGAAAACAAAAAAGAATAAAATCCCAGAAACCCTAGTAAAACCTTTCTCCCGGGAACTGAGCTTCCGCCTTAGAATCAATGGCTTCCGTGGAGGTGGATTTGGGCAAGCTTCCTTTCGATCTTGATTTTCATCCGTCAAAACATCTGGTCGCCACTGGTCTTATCAGCGGTGAACTTCTTCTGTAAGTTCAGCTCTTCATTCTCTTTATTTGATTCACTCTCCAAAGCGTAGAAAGAAAAAACATAGCTAAATTATACTGCCAAAATCAATTTTTTATCGCAGGCATGGTTACGCCCCTGATTCTCAAGCTCAAAGGTACATCTGGAAGTACATACACATTTTCTATTTTTTATGTATAGTTCTCACCTGTAGACGAGTCTTTTTCATGAGATGAATTATAGGTTGTTTGCAGTTGAAGCACATACTGAATCTTGTAGAGCAGTCAGATTTATCAACGATGGACAGGGTACCCGTGCTATTTTGCTAGTTTTTCTCATACTTTCTTAAGATTTTTCATGGAAAGTTCTAATTTATGTTTAATTTTTTATCCGATAATAATTTGTGTTCAGCAATCGTAACGGGATCTCCAGATTGTTCCATACTTGCTACTGATGTTGAAACTGGTGCAGAAATTTCTCGTGTGGAGAATTCTCACGGGTGGGTGATAAGAAAAGAAACCTAATGCATAGTGTAATTCAGTAGTACAAATAGTTGTACCATGAGTGCTACCAAGGTGTTTACTTGGATTTTCATATTGGTTTTCCCCATTCAATGCAGTGCTGCTGTTAATCGCATTGTTAATTTAACGGAGTCAACCATTGCTTCTGGAGACGATGAAGGCTGCGTAAAGGTTGATTTCAAATCCCCAAAGTTTGAATGACTAGATAAAACTGTTTTTAATGTCCACAAACAATAGAGATTGAACTTTGCTGTTAAAAGTTCCGTGTAGTAGCAGTCTAGCAGTTTGTTGAGCCTTCTTTGAACCATATTCATTTAGGCAAATTCTTCCATGGACCTAAGGTCCATATTCAATTTATGGACCTTAGTGCATTTGTAGCATAAAAGAAGTGGGCATTTTGCAAAACAGAAAATTTGTACATGTAAGCCCATGAAAAATGTCAAAAGGTCCACATTTTAAATGTGGACCTTGGGACCATGTAAGCATCACTAATTCATTTATATAGTTCTCAGCACTTCTGTCTTTGTTATGCAATACTGCCCATAGGATGTTTAATTGACTGCCATGTCCATTTTTTGGCATCCTTGCACAGTGCCAATACCTTACACTTTTACTCCCATGTGTCATTTTAGGATAAACAAACACTTGTGTTTTCTTTTTAATACTTCTATCTACTACTTATGCTTGCTGATTCTGCTTATACTTCTGTAGCATAATATTTTTGTTGCCGAGTGTCTTTATTTATGAAGTTAAAGTGGAATTTGTTTTTAATTTGTCGTTTTCACCATTACTCACTCAGGTGTGGGATACCCGGCAACGTTCATGCTGCCATACTTTTCAGATCCACGAGGAATACATTTCAGACATTACATTCGTTTCTGATTCCATGAAATTACTTGCCACTAGGTAACATTGACATATGCTCATTTTTTATTTTGTATATGTCTATGACAATTACACCATTAATTTGATGCTCTCTGTTGTGTGCATCCTTTTGGAATTAGAAGCCTTTTAATTAGAGAGTCATAGTTTGTATTAGGGTGATGTTATTGCTTTATTGAACTCTGATGGTCTGTTTAAAATTCTAAAATTTATCTCCAGTGGTGATGGGACTCTCTCCGTTTGCAATGTACGAAGTGGGAAGGTAATAGTTATATTTATGCATTTCAATTTTGAGTACAAGTATATCTGTGTTGTTATCAGGGCCACCAGGTCTAGAGTGTAAACCCCTCCTATGTTGGTAACATTACTTGAGTGGGTAGATAACAGGCCTACCATTGTCTGGAACACATCCATTTTTAAAAAATTCCAGTACTTTAAAGGTTGAAAGACTGCGCACCATGTGATGTCTTTCTAAAGCATTCACACAGAGGCTTAGTTCTGGATTTACATGAGGTTTTGATTTCTATCTGGCCTCCAGGTTCAAACTCGGTCAGATTTCTCAGAAGATGAGCTGCTTTCAATTGTTGTTATGAAGGTAGATATTATATTTTTGGGAATATATCGCTTATTTATTCATTTGTGTGTACATTCATATTTGTTTTAACTTTCCAATCGTGTCACGACATCAGACTTTAACTAATATCCTATATTTTAGTAACATGATTCTATATTGTTCAGAATGGTAGAAAAGTGATATGTGGGACACAAGGTGGAAATCTATTCTTGTACTCATGGGGTTTCTTCAAGGATTGCAGGTAGTTAAGCTGGAAATCTTGGAACTCACATCTAAACATCATTTTTTCAAAACACATTCTAATTGTAGTGTCTTTTTTCCTCCAGTGACCGGTTTCTTGATTTGTCCCCAAACTCAGTGGATGTACTATTGAAAGTCAGTGCATTCCTTCCGTAGTTGTAGTTCTTTCAATAGCATCTGGATTTAGTATAGTGATAAGTAACTGCTAACAATCTCTACATTGGAAATCCATTAATCTCTTATTGTTTGCTATTGTGAAGCTTGATGAAGATAGAGTACTCACAGGATGTGAGAATGGACTTATAAGGTGGAGAGAACTGCTTACTTTGTCTGAATTGTCAGCTGTACTTGGATTTTATATATTATTAATTATCCATTTGTTTTCCCTTTAGTTTGGTGGGCATACTACCGAATAAAATAATCCAGCCAATTTCCGAGCATTCAGAATGTCCCGTTGAGGGTCTTGGTACGACTTCATGAAATCTTATATTCTTTTTTGAAGTTATGAGATTGAATAAATCTCTCACACCATGTTTTCTGCGTTCATTTTGCATTCATTGTCTTGGTTCGGTTAATTTTTTACTGATTAGTAACTTTTGTAGTTATTTTATACTTGCAGCTTTCTCATATGATAAGAAGTATCTTGGGAGCATATCACATGATCATACATTGAAGGTTCATTTGTCTCTGATTATCTGATTTTATTTCTTGTATGATTGTGAATTTTATAAAGTTCACGAAACGATTACATTCCATATGCATATGTATTCTTCTATCCTTCTTCATATCTATCATTCACTCTATTACAAAATTTTTTATTTTATATACAGCTGTGGGATTTGGATGAGATACTACCAAGTTCTGGAGATGCATCAACGAGCCAGGCAGCTGAAGCGAATAGTGATAGTGATGGGATGGACGTTGATTATAGTAATCCGAAGTCTTCTAAAGGTCTGTTATTTACCCAATTTATCGCACATGCACAACAAAATAGTTTGGCAATTACTAAAACAAGCATTCAATTCTAAAAATCCATGCATAGGCATGTCCTAGAGTTGGTGTCAATGTTTCTTAGGCAAGGATGTATATTTTGGACCACATGGGAAATTAATTTGGTATTAGTAGTCATCATGTATTATTTAATAGGCTCTCATATGCATGTTTAAACATAAAAATTTGAATGGTGTTTTTAGTCAAACTTGTTAATGACATATATTTATGAACGGGGCGGGTTCATGTGACATTGCCCGGCAATGTCATGGGATGACCTTGGGCCACTATGGTGCCCCGTTCGTAAAATTGACGGTCCCTACCCCTAACCCCCCTGCAAACCCCCCCCGCCCCACCCCGACCCAAACACCCACCCCCACCNGGGGGGGTTACCGGGGGGGGGGGGGTTAAAGGGGGTAGGAACCGTCAACAGGTCACCGTATTGTACACCATCTGTTTTGCATCTTTCATTTATACCAGCTAGCATCTTGATGACAACTGTTTCTATATTTGCTTTCCAGTTAAAATGTCGTGTTTTTTTCTTCGCAGCAACGAAGAAGAAGGCGAATGCTAATAAAGGACAAAACCCTAGCAGTTCAAGCAATTTCTTTGCAGATTTATAATTCTTCAGTACTGATTTGCCAAAAAGGTAGCATTAGCATGATTAAAGATTGTTGCAGTCTTCAGCATATTGAACCATATCAGTGCAGAAGATTTAGGGTTCATTCTATTACGGAATATTTGTTTGTACACTCCTAATCTCTCTTGTACTCTTTCATGTGTAATGAAAAATAATTTTTTTAATGATGAATACCATTTTTTTCATATATTGTTTCTTGTTACTCTTCAAAACTGTTAATTTATCAAAAATGTTTGACCGTCAAACTTTTTCATTTCTCCAAAATGTGAAAAAGAAGAGTGTCTTACAATAAAATATTTTCGACTTTTTTCTACAGCGAGAGAGAAAAGGGGAAAAAAAATTAATTTACAATATTTTTCTTGAGGTAGATTTGAATTTACAATTGAAAATCGAAGTAATAAGTGTAGTAGAATTTAAATCTAAATGGTTGAGAAATGGGCTCCTACTCTATTTAATTTAATCTCGGAGCCAATACGAATTAAACGAATGAACATTAAATTATTAAATTAGCTGAACAAATAAAAACCACAAAGTGCCCTCCCTAAAGAATTTCTACTTATTATTGAACAAAATGGAAAGAACAAATAAAAACCACAAATATACAAGTAATGAAGAACCATTAAATAAAAACCAACAAATATATAACTAATGAAGAACCATTAAATAGAACAAAGAAAAACCACATATATCCCTAAAGACTTGCAAAGGAATAGAGGGGAATTCCCTATTTTCTTGGGAAGCAGCTCATCTGTAAACACTATAAAATGGCTCCAGCAATCACATCTCATAAAATATCAATACAAATTTAAAAAAAAAAAACAAGAAAAATAACATTAGAAAAGATGAATTGCTCAAAGTTTCTTATTGTCTTCACATTTGCAATCTTCTTGGTAGCACATTCCGGGGAGAGCGCCGTCATCAATATTGCAGCAAAACCAAATGCAGATATCGCCGCGGTAAGTGAATACATATTGAAATGATCATTATGACTTTTGTGATACGTCAAAACTTAGAATGAATATGGGCATACATCATGTCTGCATTCATTTGACTTTTAAAACATTGCAAAAGTGATATCATGTTCAATTAAATGTGAATATACTTCACCCGTCTTAAAATTATCGTCTTACTTTAACATTTGTGGTCTCTTTAACAACAAACTAAATATACTTTTGAATAAATAAATACTACTCGCATAAAAATTTGATTTACATCAAAACTACATCTTAAAATGAATCCAATTTTTTTAAATTTATATTAAAACTAAAATCATTTTCTTACAATTTATGGTCAAAGTTATAAAAAAAGTCAAACAAGGAACAATAATTTTGGGACAAATATTTTCTTCTAAACATTTGTCACGAACATTCTCACCAAATAGATTTTTTCCCTTTATGTAATGTATAATATAAATTCAGAATGGAAATTCGACAAAGGGAACTGATAAAAATTAACAAAAGGAATAATGTGATATATATAGGATTTGTTGAGTGCATGGAAAGAAGCATGCGCAGCACCAACCGGAGGAACCATTGTGATCCCAAAAGGCACATTTCCAATGACCCAAGTACAGCTCTCCGGTCCATGCAAGGGTCCCATTGAACTCCAAAACCAAGCCACCTTGAAAGCCCCTGATGACCCCAAGACCCTTGATAGCACCAAGGAGTGGCTCACCGTCCAAAATGTTGACCGGTTCACGCTCTCGGGTACCGGCGTCTTCGACGGCCAAGGCGCTAAATCTTGGGGGCAGAACGATTGCAAGAAAAGCGGATCTTGCAACAAGCTTCCCAACGTAAGCACGAAACTATTACCGTTAGACCATAAAATCTTTCTTCAGTATCTGACCTAACTTTGACTTTGACTTTATCTGTGTGTATGTAGAATTTGAGCTTTAATTTCTTGACAAACTCGTTGATCCGGGACATCACGTCTCTGGACAGCAAGTTGTTCCACGTGAACGTTTTGGGCGGGAAGAACCTGACGTTCGACCACGTGACCATCACGGCGCCGGGGACGAGCCCAAACACGGACGGGATCCACATCGCGAAGATCGTAGACGTTAGCGTGAAGGACAGCACCATCGGGACCGGGGACGACTGCATCTCGATCGGGGACGGGACCGAGAACCTCCACATCACGGGCGTGACGTGCGGGCCCGGGCACGGGATCAGCATCGGGAGTCTGGGGAAGACGCCCGGCGAGGAGCCCGTGAAGGGCGTGTTCCTCGAGAAGTGCACCTTCGTCAAGACCGACAACGGGGTGAGGATCAAGACGTGGCCCGACTCCCACCCCGGGGTCGTGACGGACGTGCACTACACTGACCTCACGATGAAGGACGTGAAGAACCCGATCGTGATCGACCAAGAGTATTGCCCCAACAACGCGTGCACCAAGGTGAAGCCGTCGCAGGTGAAGATCAGCAAGGTGAGCTACAAAGGGGTCACCGGAACCTCCGCGACGGAGGACGCCGTGATCTTCGCCTGCAGCAGCGGAGTGCCATGCGAGGGAGTTGACGTCGGCGACATTGACTTGACCTTCTCCGGCGGCGCCGCGAAATCGGTTTGTACCAATGTCAAGCCCACCTTCACCGGAAAGCAGAATCCGGCGCTTTGCACCACCAAGGCAGCCTCCGCTTAAAAACTCCATCCCCTATTTTTCATGATGAGTAGTAGTGAAATGCCGATACCTAAGAATTGATTAACTACATATTATGTAACAAGTTGAAAATAATAAGAAAGATCAGAGGGCAGCAGGTTAAGTATTACTATGTATATAAATATATCCAACAATTGTGGATATAAGAGGCAATATAATAAGAAATAATCCAATTTGTATGATGGCAAAGATATTACTCCCTAGTCCGGCCTCCTACCCGGAGTATTATGTTTTTTAACTAAATTGATTTGTTATTGTTTGTGATGCAACACTTTAAAACATTTTAATATTATTGACTCTATTACAATATAAGATCTTCTCGATCATATGTATTTCGGTGAGGTTCTAGTGACACTACCGGTGCAAAAAATTGCTGATGGGTACCCCTAATTTTGTGATAAGAACTGTTGGGTACCCTTAGTTGTTAAAATATACTCGCAGGTACCCTACATTATTGGAAAATTTGCCAGGAAGGGATTTTTCATCCCTCCGTCAGTTACTCCGTCATTTTCATCATCTTCTTCTCCTTTCTTTCGTCCTCTTCAATCTTCTTCCTCCTCTTTTTAATTTCTCTATATGAATTAAATCTTCAATTTTTTTCTGTTTAATTTCGATCTTCTCCAATGCTTATTTAAATCCATGCAAAATTTTGAAGTGCTTTCTTAATTATGCTCATCACTATTTCGTATTCAACTAGGATTAATTATTGCATATTTGATTCTCCATATCTCTTTGTTTAACGACTCAATCTTCCAAAATTTGCTTTCTGAATTAAACATATACGGAGTACTCACAGCCACCAGATCCCGGAGCAACCATGAGATGAAGAAGAGTCTACCGTGGTAGGACGTGAGGAAGAAGAATAAAAGAAAAAGAAGAAGGGAGGAAGATTTGAAGGAAGATTGAAGAAGATGAAGGAAATGAGAAGATGATGATATTGATGAATATGATGATGAGTAAAATGATGGAGTAACTGAAGGAGGGATGAAAAATCCTTCCTTGGCAAGTTTTTCAATAATGTAGGGTACCTGCAAGTATATTTTAGAAATTAAGAGTACCCGACAATTCTTATCACAAAATGAGGGGTACCCATCAGTAATTTTTTGCTACCGGTGCCACTGTCATTTTGGGGCACTTCCGGTGCTCCATTCGTAAAATTGACGGTTCATACCCCCCCTAACCCACCCCTTAAACCCCTTACCCTACCCCCGCCCTTGCACCCCCACCTCAACCCTGCCGTAAGCCCCCCCCCCACATAATGTGTGGCTATTATGTAACAAGTCGTGGAGATAGACGCAAACCGAGTTTGTCGTCAAGTCATTCGTAAGTAGACAAATCAATACATTAGAAGGTTCTGTTGTGATTGATTGTGTAATTCTTACGGTGATTTAGTGGAAGGGCTATTACATGGACGTGGGCCTTGTAGACGTAGGAGAATTTGCTCTGAACTGCGTGAACAATTATAGTGTCTTGCTTGCTGTTCTTACTTTATTTTCTACGTGTGCGCTTGTGACAGAGAAGGTGTTATAGCCCTCTGTCAGTCATCTATTACTGTGAGCGTGCTGCAGTATCTTCTCTACAACATAGTTGTTTGATCTGTTTGCGTTGTTTTCAATTGGTGATTTCTGCTGCACTCCCACGAACTTACAATTGGTATCAGAGCTTGGCAAGCTTAAGTTATTAGCTTGATTGCTCTATCACCATGGGAGATATTCAAGAAGGTGCTAATGTTTTTAGACCTCCACTATTATGCGGCCATGATTATACTTTTTGGAAGTGTCGAATGAGAGCCTTTCTCAAGTATCTTGGTGGACAGGTTTGGAGAAGCATAGAGGTTGGATGGTCAGCTCCTACTATGACCAATGCAGATGGAGAACTAATTCAGAAACCTTATGAAAGATTTAGCAAGAAAGAAAAGGATGCTGCAGAATCGAATGATCAGGCTTTGAATGCAATCTTCAGAGCGGTTGACAGAAATCAGTTCCGTCTTATCTCAAATTGCACAGAGGCCAAGAGAGTTTGGGACATTTTTCTTATTACTCATGAAGGCACTACAATAGTCAAGGCTGCCAAACTTCAGATCGTGATGTCCAAAATTGAAAATCTTAAGATGGAGGATGCTGAGTCTATCACAAATTTTCATGGGCGGGTTAGAGAGTATGCAAATGAGGCTGAAAGGCTTGGTGAACAAATTGCAGAAAACAAGCTGGTGTTGAAAGTGTTACGTTCTCTTCCAGAAAAATACTCTATGGATGTTAAAGCTATTAGACAAACACAATCTCTCAATGTTATGTCTCTTGACGAGCTGATGGGGAACTTAGAAACCATTCCTCATTAAAAAAGAGAAGCAATGTGTTAAAGACAGTGCTGGAACATGCTGTGCTTTTCCAACTTTCCATAGTGTTGACGGTGACTCTGATAGTAACGTGGATCCAAAGGAGATGCTTATAATTGTTGAAGAAAAATTTCAAGAGTCTCTACGGGTCAACAAGAAAAAATGTTTGGAAAATGATAGCCTCAAACGTGAACTTGCTGAATCAAAACGCGATGTGGAACAACTCATCAAAGAGTTACAAAGATACAACGGTAAAGTTACAGCAGAGGATGACACAGATGATGATACAGAAGATGACATAGATGCTGACACAGCAGAAGAGCTATCTATTCTCCAAAGGAAGTGGGTACAACTTGTTCAAGCCAACCAGAAAACTGTCCTGGAGAATCATCAGCTTGTTGCTGAGCGCGATAGACTAAAGGAGAATATTTCAAAACTAGAAAAGAAGATTGAAGACTTAGAAGGGCAACAATCAGATCTCAAGTATGAATTAAATCAACTCAAAAACTTTCACAAGTGGGTGAGAAGTGCTGGAGCAAAAGCTATTGAGGAGCAAGTGAACGTTTCAAAATTTTATGGAGACAAGACGGGTCTCGGATTTTCAGGTTCCGAAAGCAATAAGACCCCACTTGACTTGTTTGTTGATCGAAGAAAGGAAATTGATCAAAAAGTCCCACAAGGAACGAAAACAGAAGCTGCTGCATCTGCTCAAACATCTTCTGCCAAACCCGCTGAAGCATCTCATGAAGCTTCTACTGGAACAATTTATACAGCACCCTATGTAAAAAGGCAAAGAGTTGTGACACAATCTAGTATGAGAAGACACAAGGATCATTATCCTAAACCTGAAAGGTATTCTTATACTAATGTCTATGCTAATTATGTTTGTTTTTGCTGTGGAAAAAGGGGACACATTCAAAGGAAATGCAAGAATTTTAAAGAGCAAAGATATAGAACAGAGAATGTGACAACAAGGATGATTTGGGTACCTAAGAATCAGTACAAAATAGGTGATAATCCTTGTGTGAATGAGTTTGTTTCTGATCAATGCCATGTTAGTAGTGCAAGCTTGCATCAAGAAGAAAAGAAAATAGATCATTGTGCTGTTAAGATTGCTGAATCATCTTATAAGTGTGATTAAGTGACGCCTCCTAGTCATAAGAGTGTGATGTTTATGGCTATGAATAAACGGGCATTGGGCATGTGTAAAAGAGCATTTGATGGGGATCGTTTTCGTATACTCAGATCCCGCTTGGGTCTGTGCACACCCATTTCTACTTGATTTAGAGGATGCTCTAAGAGGTGTTTCATCTCCAGCGTGGAATGCCTTAGAGCATAGATGTTTTTTCTAGTTGCATAAATGACTTTATTTTTGCAAATTGTTACTTTTTCAGATGCATCGTCCGAGGGGGAGTCGCTCAATATGTCTCACGTTGATGTGACAAAGTCTAGGTCTATTTTGATATTCATTATTGTAATGCTCAAGCTCGCTTGAATGTTACTCTTCTCTTTTGCCCCAATATTCTTAATAAAACCTTTGACATTTTTTATGCAAAAAAGGGGGAGAAGAGGTTCAAAATAGCTGAGATTCGTTTTTGTCAAAAAATTGCCAAAGGGGGAGATTGTTAGTTCCATATTGTGTTGGCATTATTTTTTGACAAACAAATAGATTTAGCTAGAATTATTTTAGATATTTTATTTAGACTTAGAGTTCTAGCATGTGAAGAAAGTGAAAGAGGGAAGAGCTTGAAGAAAGAAGTCTAATCCTACTTGGTTTACTACTCTTGAGGAGGAAGGTAACTCCTAAGCACACTCTAACAAGGTTAATATGCTCTATATATTATCTTCTCCCTACCTTAGAGTTTTGAGGAGGAAAAATTAGAAATAAGTGAAGCAAATCCGAAAAAAGAAAAACAAGGTTCATAGTTTGATAGTGCAAATTTTCTAGACAGCCCGCACTGATTTGATCATAACTGGAGATCCAACTGTTGGATTTTTCTGAAATTTTCAGAGTGTTCCCAACACATATATAGGGATTCAACGTGTCCAATTTTGACGACAATCGGAGTTACGGATCTTCTGTTATCGAAGTTACAATCTACATACTGTCGTTGTTTTTTTACAGAAAACGCATCGCTGGTTTTGTTGAAGATCGGAGTACCAAATCTTGTCCGATCGTGATGAAATTTTAGGAGTCTAAGGACGCGTAGATCTTCAATCTGAACAGTGGAGATGGAATTCCAACGGTTCAATCTCGATTTATGAGCTTTAGATCAGCCTGCATATTTTTGTAGATCAAGGAGAATCTTTATTTGAAGGTGTATTGGAATCTACGTCCTTGAAGAAGATCTTTGAGAAGGTGTAACAAACCGTGGAGATAGACGCAAACCGAGTTTGTCGTCAAGTCATTCGTAAGTAGACAAATCAATACATTAGAAGGTTCTGTTGTGATTGATTGTGTAATTATTACGGTGATTTAGTGGAAGGGCTATTACACGGACGTGGGCCTTGCAGACGTAGGAGCATTTGCTCCAAACTGCGTGAACAATTCTGGTGTCTTGCTTGTTGTTCTTTATTTTCTACGTGTGTGCTTGTGACAAAGAAGGTGTTATAGCCCTCTGTCAGTCATCTGTTACTGTGACAATGCTGCAGTATCTTCTCTACAACATAGTTGTTTGATCTGTTTGCGTTGTTTTCAATTGGTGATTTCCGCTTCACTCCCACGAACTTACAATGGAGTGGTTCTTCTCTCAATCCCAGTTTGCCCTAGACGAGAATGGCAAGACACATTAATTATGGCTTTTGAGAGCAACTCAAATGTACTCGACGCGTCTGCTAACGGACATTTGAGCTGTCTGTCCATCTCCTCAAATCTTCTACAACAAGATGTTATGCAGGGTGCAAGGATGCCAAGCGTCACAGAACATGGGTTAAATGATGGGTCAGTAGAGACTAAGGAAGCTGAAGATGAAGAAAAGAAGATCCAATTGTTATTTCAACTTGCTTTTGATGCCTACTTCGAAACAATCTTCAGGGCAGTGCAAAAATAGGTTCTAGAGGCTTTGGTGAGGACATCGCTACTAGATAAACTGAAAATGGGACTTTTTCAAAACATGTCGGGTAAAACTCTTCGAGCAACACGCGAGACGGTGAAAAGCATGGAAAAGGTGACCCTAGTTCAATTTGAAGATACTAAATACCCAGCTTTCATTTCGTGTTCCAAAGCTGATGAAAGGCTTGTGGCAGAGTTTCTAACAGGGGAGCATGTTGAAGAGTCACATGATAATTTTGGTTAAAGTTTTATCTTATTTATTCGACTTAGTTACGTGTTTTGCTGGTTGTCCTTAGTAGATGAAGCGAGGGCTAAATGAAGCAGGGTTAATCTTGCACTTTCCAGAGGGTTTAGAGAAATGGGTTTTCAAGGTTTTATTGCAGATTAGGAATTATGCTTTAGAATTTTCCATAGGGTTCTAGTTTTTTTGAGACAGGGTTGGAGGTACATAGTTCATCATTTGTACTAGCCAGGGTCCTACATAGACAGCCTTATTCTCAACCTTTTTTCCTTGTCAGGCTAAAACGAATGGTATATGGACGCTAATACTGGTTGTGATATGGGGTTATATGAATTGCAGGATGACCAGCCACGGAAGCAGTTTTGGGGTTTTGATAGGGATATATGCAGTTGGAGTTCTGCGTCTTTATCACCAGCTCCTCTTTTAATTTTAGTCTGTTGTCAGCTTCTTCTTTTAGTTTAGTGTATGGCAGTTCTTCTTGTACTCTATTTGTTGGTTTTGGTTCCCCTTTTAGCCTGTTGTCGGGTTGGCCACCCCCTGTACCTTTCTTTTCCTTTAATAAAATTTTCCTTTGTTTAATATATATATATATATATATATATATATATATATATATATATATATATATATATATATATGTTCCGGTGAGAATACGATCTAGTAAAAGAAATAAGAATAAATCTAAGCCCTTAGATTTGAGATCCTATCCGATTTCTTATAGGCCCCGTTTGGTACACGGAATTCATACTATGGAATTGGAATTGAGGACTTCAATTCCAATTTCAGTGTTTGGTAGCACAAAAATTATGTGGATTTGGAATTGATAGTGCAAAAAATGAATTGGAATTGACAGAATTCAATTCTATGGAATTGAATCTCATGGAATTTTAATTCAAATTCAATTCCAATTCCGTCAATTCCGTATACCAAACGGACCCATAGGCTTATATTTGGGATCTTATAAAACAATATTCTCTCTCTCAAATCTCGATTGGATAAAGACACAAAATCAGCCCCAATTTAAGGTATCCTTTTTCGTCTTCCAGCCACGGAATTGATAGGAAAGCGATGGCGCTCTCACTTCTCTCCATCCGCCGTCGCAGCGGTGTGATCTCCCGCCGATTGAATTTCACTGAGACCTCAGATTTAAATCTGATAATGCCCGGTAATTCCATTGGTGCAAAATTCATAGTTGCGAAGATGACCCTAGAATCGCTGATCTATAATAGGTTTATGGGGGAGGTGCAGCGGTGCGATGCCATCAAGTGCTGCACTTGTTGAGTGCGATGACCCTAGTATCCCCACCAGTGCTGCACTTTTTGAGTTTGAACCCAAAAAATTCTTTTCCAAGTAGGAGAAATATATACTGAGATGGATCTGCAACTTAATTAGGCAATTTTTTATTTTTATCCTCTGCATCACAAATTCCATTTTGATAATCTATTTTGGGGGTTTCAATTCTTAATCAGGTATGTTTGATTTGCTATTATGTGAATATTTAATTCCTTGTTTTGGAGGTGGACGGCAAGGAGAACCACTTCCTTCAGAAAATTGGGTTATACGGATATAGAGTATAGAGTATCATTTTTATATCCGTGTAATGCATTTTGTGGTGTTCATTCTACACATATTCTCCAACTGTTTTATTCATGTGATGATGTCATTATTGTTATCCTAAGAGAGGTGTTCTTATTATAAGTGGAGCATTAAGAATACCATGCGAAGAAGCCTCGTTAAATCTAGTGGATAAATTCTAAATGTCCAACTGTGTTTTTACTTTTTTACTTTTCTTTACTTTGTTTTTGTTATAGTGCATTATCAGAATCAAGGTAATGCATTTTCATGAGAATGTTTTGTATTATCAAAATCACGGTAATACATTTTTATGAGAATGCAGTACAAAACAAGGTAAACGATAATGCATTTTTCTTCTATTACTATGCATTCTTATTATCAAAGTTGATGCAGCTTATGTTGAAATCCTTCTGACACAAATATGATGCACTTGTATATTCTAGATAGCAAATTTTCTACAAATGATAATGTTTTTAAAGTATTTTGAGTTAATATGTATATGGGTTAGAAACATATTGAATGATGCAATTTTAAAATGCATCACGTCAAATTACACCAAAAACCTTTGAAAATGCAATATCTCAAAATCTGAGCGCATGATGCAATCTGAGCTACACGATGCATCAGATCCAATGACTAGATTTTATTCTCATTTCTCTTCACAAGGTGCATTCTCACGGGAACCAGTTATATATATATATATATATATATATATATATATATATATATATATATATATATAGGGGGTGGTTCAGGTGAAAATACACCTTGGTGAAAGAAATAAGAATAAAATCTAGCATTTAGATCTGATGCATCGTGCGGCTCAGATTGCATCTTGCACTCAGATTTTGAGATAGTGCATTTTTAAAGGATTTTGGTGCATTTCGACATGATGCATTTTCAAATCATTTTGGTGCACCTAATTTTGATGCAATCCTGACCCTTAGATCTCACAATCTAAAGCACCAGATTCATTCTTATTTCTTTTATAAGATCGCATTCTCACCTGATCCAATATATATATATATATACACACACATATATATATACACACATATATATATATACACACATATATATATACACATATATATATATACATATATACATATATATATACATATATATATATATACATACATATATATGTATGTATATATATATATATATTTTATATGCCTATATATATATGGTCTTCAGACTCTTCACTTCTAAGTTCTAGTAAATGATACAAAATACAGACAATGCAATATTACTACACATCATGTGCACCATAAAGACTAACAAATGCATAAAGAGAGAGATTAAATGATATATATCATTGACTATCTGTGCATCAAAACATGCCATAAGTGTTCTGAGATGACATTTAGAGTAGACCATATGTTCCATTACCATATTATTAAGCTAAGTGAATAAATTACTCTCTCCGTCCCGGAGTATTCGCCCAGTTTTGACTTTTGAAACTGTTCATCTAAGCACGTTGACTCATCAAATTCTCTCAATCTGTAAGCCTAAATATAGTCATGTGTGATCTTGTTTGATTTGTCTTAACATATAGATTATTAATATATAATTTTTATAATTTTTTAATATACAAATTACAAGATAAAATAGATTAAAGAAGTGTATTGGATGATGTGTAAAAATAAAAGTGGACAAATACTCTGGGACGGGGTAGTACAAAATAAGTCAAAAAAGATGAAGCACATGACCACATAAAAACCCTTTATAAAAAAATAGTCATAGTACATCTTGGACTATTATTGTGTCACACCCGCCACCACGCAATTCTAAAATAAAAATCAAAATTTGTAGCAACCAAAACATAGACCCAGATTGTAAGTGCTCTGCTGGCTTCTATACAAATTGAATTTTGGAGTGGCCAATTACAGAGCACAACAAGAAAAACAAAATGTACAAATCAATGTCTGCTCATCATCAATTTTGAAAATTTAGAGGAATAATGAATCTTCTAATGAAATGAGTTTTTTAAACGACAAGGATAAAAGAAATTTGAAAAACACAAAACCAAATTCATAAATAAGATACAGATTTGCTGCTGGATTATTAAAATTTAAAAAAGAAAAAAAATTGCTAACCTTATTGCAATTAAGATCAATCTAATGATTGAAAGCATACTTGAATTCATAATTGTATCCCTCCCAGATGTGATATACGAACCCTAAAAATGGACGAAATCTCTCGAATAGGCCAGATCTGTTCATGTCTCTGGACTACTTCTAGCAGTGCAAAATCCTTTTGTGAAAGAGAGAGAGATAGAGAGAGAGAGGGGGATTAAGGAATGAGGTGTAAATGAAAGTTTGTCTAATATACTCGCACTTCATTCCTTTATATAGTCAAAACACATTTTCCCCCAAAATACCAACCGGATTTGGCTAATCCGTTTTGATGGGTATTATTTAACCAAACGGATTAGGCTAATCCGTTCAACTCACCGTTTCATTATTTATTTATTTTTTTTGTAATTTTCTTTTATTATAAAACGGATTTAGTTCTTTGTGTTCCAATTAATTTTTTTTCCTTTTTAATTTTTTTAGTTATTTTAACTCCTCTTTTAGAAACTTTTTTTAACAAATTAACTCCACTTTTTTAAACTTTTTTTTATTTTTCTAACTTTATTTTAAATTATTTATAAGAAACTAAATTAATTACAAAATAAAGGAAACATACATAAAGAAGATGTAGAAAAAATACTATAATAAAATTTTAAAAAAAATACTATTTATTGACTTTAAGTTCTATTTATATAACGAGATTAAAAGAACATGACAAAATTTAATAATTTTATTACTAGAGTGAATATAACAATTTATTCACAAAAAGAAGAAGCCAAAACACAATCCATAATAAACTTATTTGTAAAATTTAATAATACATAAACTCAGACATAATTGAAATTCATGACACAGCTATTCCTCGTTACGATGTCTCCGTGGTCGATAGTCGATGTTATTCGGATAGCGGGTTCTCGTACGTCGGCCGGTTCGTATGGTCTGTCGTGGCGTTGGCCTCAGGATCTCGTACTCTAGAGTAGGCCATTCAGACTCATCTGGTAGCGGCATTATGATGCTAGAGTAAGCGTTGATGTAGGACTGAATTGAAAAAACAGTTGGAATTAAATGGTCCACGGTGACACTACAAAAAACATATACTACGTGGACATGATTGCATAGGAGGTGAAATGTTACCCATTGACCACAGCTACATGTTCGCAACTGTGCGAAAAGTGTCTATGCTCCGCAGTGGCTGATCCATTGGTTGCTGAAAGAATGGATTACCATCCTCTTCCTCCTCATCTTCCTCCTCAACATTTTTAGACACCACGATGAATACTTCAACTGCATCGTATTCACGTGATGCTTTTCGTAAAAAATGTCGCCATGTTGGTTGGTCGTTGATTGCGAGAGGTCGTGAACCAACTTGTATTGAACTTCACGATTTACAACTTGTATCTCACCACTCCAATAAACTACTAGAAGTATACTATTATCTTCTAACATTGTTTATTTTGGTCCGTAGAAGAATGGTGAGGGTGTGTTAGAAATGAAGATGTAGGGGTTTATTTATAAGGGGGTAGGAAAATTAAGTTAAGTGGGAGTGGGAAAATGAAGTTAGGTGGGAGTGGTTAGTTGGAAAGGGAAATAATTGGTAGTTGGGAGGGGTTAGTTGGAAGGAGAAATAATTGGTTAGGTGGGAGTGGGAAAAAGTAGTTAGTTGGAAGGCGAAATAAATGATTAGGTGAGAGTGTGAAAGGGTAGTTAGTGGGGGTGGTTTATTGTGAGTGGGGAAAAAATGATTAATTGAGAGTGAAAAATAAATAGAAAATATGAGATATAATGGCTACAGATAAATAGTTTACATACATTACCGAAATACACAATTAAAGTTTAAACGGAACAAAAATTTGGAAAAAAATCATATGGAGTAGCGAACTCCGTTTGACTCTAATCCTTCATTTACTCTGTTCCATTTTAAAAAATTAATAAAAGTGAAGTTCAAATAACTAAAATAGTTTAAAAGAAAAAAATAAATTGGAACAAACAACTATGAGCTCCATGCATTAAGATAAATTATTTTAAAAAAAATTAATAGTGAAACGGATTAGCCTAAAAGTGAAGTTAAAATAACTAAAATAGTTTTTAAAAAAATAAATTGGAACAAACAACTATGAGCTCCATGCGTTAAGAAAAATTATTTTTTAAAAAAATTAATAGTGAAACGGATTAGCCTAATCCGTTTTGTAACTAAATAAGTGAAACGGATTAGGCTAATCTGTTTTGTAATTAAATAATTATTTTTAAAAAAATAATATTGAAACGGATTAGCCTAATCCGTTTTGTAATTAAATAAGTGAAACGGATTAGGCTACTCCGTTTTACTTAAAATTAGCCTAATCCGTAGCTTAATTCGTCTTGCACTGCGAGGGAAAAAATGTCTGACTTACACTTTCAGGAATGGAAATTTTTTTATTTACATATGTTGGTAAATTACTCGGTTAATTTTGGGGTGCAGCGTGTGTATTGGAATGGGGAAACAAAAATCTTATGTAAGTACACAAATGCCCTTACTAATTGTCGAATATAGCAGATCCTAGTCCCTTGATCCAATGATCCATATTCATTCTTATTTCTTTCGTAAGATCTCTTCCTCACCATATGCAAACGAAGACTCAAGGGTTATACATTCTTTCTGCGAAGCTTTTTTACAGGAATTTTAGGCATTATATTCCTGCTCTTTTCTCTATTGTCGAAGAGCTTAAGAGGGATGTTTCTTCATTTCTCTCCACCAGATTTGGGTTTTTCCTCTACTGCTTTAAGGTTTAGTAACGTTTGGGCCTGCCTTTGGTTGTGGGTATTTCAGTGACTTCTATTCATCTGGGCTTGGTCTCTTGGTTTTTCTTGGTCACTTGTTCTTAACCAGCTCTGTTGTCCAGATTATGACTGGATTTTAGACTGATGTCTTTGCCCTCATGTTTTATTCGTTTGGTCTACTGCCTGGTAGATTGTACTAGGTGCACCTGTCCTGGATAATTGGTTCGCTGGTTATGGCTGGATTTATTCGTTCAGTCCTTCTGGATTTTTGCGTAGGGCTTAATGCTTGGTCCCATGGCCTGCCCTTCTTAATCTACCCATGTTTAAATTGTTTCATGGTTTATTTGGGTCCTTTTGTTCTTGGAGTTTGGCTAGATTGTTGGGGATAGCCCCTTCTTGTACTTCTTTTTATTTTTATTATTAATAAAATCCTCTTTATATAAAATATATATATATATATATATATATATATATTTATATATAAAATAAAAATTTATTCAACATGAGAAAAGTACAAAGGGTGGGGTGGCCAATCCCAACAAAAGGCCAGTCCATCAAACCGAAAAGCATAACAGAAGAAATTAAATGGAAACCAAAAGAAGTAAACAGCAAAACAACTTCCTCTAAAGGGTCAAAAAACAACCCAATATATTTCAACCTCCTCTAAAAGAGAACAGCCCAACATGTCTCTCACAAAGAGGTGCCCAGAAATCCACAGATAGGAGTAAATACATCTTCCTACTAGCCTTCGTCCTCTTCGACCTGAAAATTTTGTCACCTGCCATATGAAGAAGCCTGGCCAGTCTACAGGTGATCTTTCCCCAAGTATAGCAGAACGAAACCCATTAGAGAGGTTCTGATTGCAGAGGTTCCCGTAAAATCAATTCCCAAAAAACCTTGCATTACCCACTACGAGCTCAGAATTGCAGCAAAGTGAATACCAATAGAATTCCACCATAAGCAGCATAGCCCAAATCAAAAGCTCTATACTTTTTAAATACCTAAGCCTTAACTTGATGAATACTGACCTGGAAAATCCAGCAAATACCCCAAAAAAACTAAGAGAAACCAAGAAAATCCGAGAAAAAGCTTCCCTTACCCATATTGTGTTCCCCCAATCAATCCTGTACTCCACACAGATGAGTGAGAACGGCCTTCATATCCTCCTTCGCATAAGCAAGGTAAACCGGGTACTTCGCTCCTCCAATAGTTGCTGCATCTATGAATTCGAAGCTCTTCATAGCTTCTCGAGTGATCCTAAGAACTTCCCCGGAGAAACTGAGAATTTGACCCTTGTTTAGAGCATGCAAAAACTTTTTGTTTGCAATTGATCTCTGGAAGAGGTTAAGGTTGTCCTTAATGACTTGATCAAATTTCTTCATACAGTCCTGCTGGTCGAAAGTAAGGTCTGCATTTGGAGTATGACTCGGAAGTCTTTCCAGCTCCTTTTCCATTGTTGAGTCTATGAAGGCCCTAGTTCCAAATCCCTTCTGCTCTTCCTCTACCCTGCAAGAAGACATCACATTAAGGTAGCATCTCCATCCTTCATCATTTTCTGCATTAAACTTCCTGGAACCTACTTCTTCACCATTTGGAAGAGATAGATGGTTATTCTCAGTACACCTCCCATCTAAAAACCTTAAAATCTCAGAGATGCCCTTGCTGAAAAGTTTGAGTCCTTCTAAAGAATTACCGTCAGGGATGATAATTCGAGAGGGTTTAATCCCGAAGTTTGATGAGAGACACGCAAACCGACCAAAATGATATATATATATATATATAACAATAATAATAATTGTAGTAGTGTTTTCTTATTAGTCAGCTTTTATTATTAAGTTAATTCCTACTTGTGTGAAGAATGTTTTTCGACATATATGCTCTCTTGTATACTCTAATTATTCTTAAGCACACCTATTATTATTCTATTATCCCAACATATATCACTGTGGAAAAATAAATGTTTAATTGTATAGTTCAATAATAGTTTTTATACATAGAGTATAATCAGTATTTGTAAAATAAAAATAATATTAATGAAATAATAATAAAATTGATAACATAATAATGTAACGTAATATATTATTTTATATTTGTAACTATACTTATGTTTAGTTTTTGTAATTATAGTGAACTTTTTTATCCTTACATTTATACATCTATCTATATTCATATTATTTTTATTGTGTATAGTTTGATTTTTAGTGTATTTTGCAGAAGTATATACTCCTAATTGTGACCCTTTCTTAGTATAAAAATATAATAAGGCTTCTTGAATTTTACTCAATTACGAGCTTGTTCTCTTCAATTTATTTAATTGTTTTTGGTGTTATTCGATTAAATTCTGATCTGATATCATTGTAGTTATATTTAAAAGTATTTTTCATCTGATCTGATTCCAATAAAAATAACTAATAAGTAAAAAGAATACATTGAAGAGAACAAGCTTATGTTGTGGTTTTAAAATTGTACGTGTGACTTTAATTATACAAATTATGCCTAGTCTCGGTCATAACTTTTTACGGTGAATATATCCTACATTTTGTTCAAGTGTGCATCAAATAAATATATTAATCCATATATGTAATTAAATTAATTGCGTTCTTTTATTAACATGCTATATACGACGTATGCTTTTTCAAGTAATGATTTAAAGACAAAGGGGTTGGTGGCATGCTTATCTTTTCCCTCGACTTCTAGAATTGAATTTTTCATTTTCAATACCTATATAAGAGTGATATCTTATGATTAAAAAAACATAATCTATCATTCTCCTACTAGTCATCTGTAAAACATCATATTATAACTTGAAATAGACCATGAAGAATTACAGTGCATATGTCATTCTTTCATTAGCAATTTTATTCAATATGCTTCTTCCATCTCTAGGTATATATGTTTTCATAATGCCTAATTAATTCAAATAACATCTTTACTGCTAGTACATAGTAATGGACTAGCCTCATCAAGGTAATAAATACCACCATTTTATGTGCATGACACATTAATAATATGAATTACTAGAGTTTTGATTTTAAAACCATTGAGTATGTGAGTATATTAATATTAGTAACCAAATGACATTTGACTTATGAATACATACATTGAACAAATAGATATGATTCTATTTTGCATATTGCACTTTTGTTTTTTTTGTTTTAGGTGAGGACATTAAGTTTTGCCCTGGATCATTCACCGCAAATGGGGCATGTGCTAGCATAGATTGTGGGGATTTGGCATCATTTCAATGGCCAGCAAGCTCGATGTTTCATAGTTGTGTGTGCTCTGATGCTGGAGAAAATAAAAGTACCTGCACTTGTCAAATTGTTTGTGGGTGTTGTGGCTAAATGATTATATTCACATTTCTCATTTAATTTTGTTAAATCTATACCCATTGATATGAATTTCATATTGGTGTGGTTATAACAAAATTTAGTGAGAGGTGTCAATATAACAATTTAAGAGATAAATTTAGCATCACTCATTGTTTGTCCTGTTAATTAGAGATGGATATCCTTCATTTTAAATAAGATATATTTTCTTCATGAATATATTATGGGAAGTGAACATCAATATAAAAGTATTGAATACAATAAATTATTTGTCTGGATTGTAATTCTTGTTGGGTTACTATAAACCTCTTATTATTTCTCATGTTAGCACACAAAGTCATTTTAATTTTTTTAATTTTATCATGCACCGTTGGAGTTTTCTAAATTTTCTACTACCTCTTTCTCCTTTTGAAAACAATAAAGACAAAAGGAAATACTCCCCCCCTTATGAAGTGTTGGTCTATTTTTGACTTTTTTTACAGTAAACTAGAATCAAACATTGACGTGTAATTAAATAAAAATATATGATATACTCCAGTTTGAAAAATAAAAACATTGACGTGTAATTAAAACATTGACGTAGTATTTATTATATAAACATTTAAAAATAATAACCTAGTTGAATCTCAAAAAGGTAGGGTTTGGTGAGGGTGTATCATGTGTGTACGTAATCCTTACTCAAAAGTAGAGTGTTGTTTTCATATTAACTAAATAAAATAATATTTTTGAAATATTTTAGGAGATAAATATAAAAAATTACTTTTGAACCAATATTTAAGATTAGTTTTAAAAAACAAAAAAAAAATTGAAATTAAAATCATACAAAATGAAACCAAACTGAACCGCCAACTTTAGAGTGAAAGTGAACCAAACCAAACCACAAGCTTATATTACGTTTTTCCTTTTGTTATAAATGAAAACAAACTCACCCCAAAAATCTATTGAAGGGCGTCTAATATTTATAAAACTAAAATCCAGTATATTTGAACTTTGGTGAGCAAATTTTAGGAGTTGGGCGATAAAATGCTCGAGTAGCACTTTTACTGAAGCCAATTAAGTTTGAGCTCCCTTAAAAATCCTAAATATATAATAGCCTTAAACTTTTATATTTAAATATGTTTGTTAATAGAAAAATAGATAAAAAATTCAGAATAATAATAATAATAGAGCAATGTAACAACAAGGAATTTCATCATATAGAAAAAGCAATGCATATATATATATATATATATATATATATATATATAGACACACACACATATATAAACAGAAAAGAATGATTTAATTAATGAAAACGAAAAGGAGTTCGCTGATCCCTAAGAGTGGCCACTACAGACGAAGGACAATTATTAAAATTACAATAATCACTAAAAGGACAATCTTTATCTCTGTCCTCCTTAGGTAAAAGATCTGCAGGATGGTTACCCTCACGAAGGGTATGCGACTTCAAAATGTCATTCTCAAAAATAAGTGTAGCCAAGATGTCAATAGGAAATGGAGACTGAGCGAAATGGGAATAATTTTCGAGTCTTCTCAAAATCTCCAAAGTGTTCCTTTCATACACCAGTAGAGGATGAAAGGTAAGAGCCCATTTGATACCCTTGATGGAAGAAGCATCAAGCTCAGCATGATAAGGGGAGGAACCTTCGACTTGGAAGGAGGCTGCACGAGCGAATCTTGCCTCCTCATCACGAAGAATTTCCGCACCACGCTTGAATTTGGAAGTGAAAGACTCATCAATGTTGAGCTTAAAACGCCCCTTTAGTGGAGCTAACCACTTAACCACTCGAATCTTACCAACCCTAGGGAACACTGGCAGCAACTTGGTAGCTGTAAGCCAAGCATCTACAGTTTTAAGATTTTTAGGGATTTTAGCTAAGAGCCACTGCCTCACAAACATAAATATAGAATCCATGAGAGCTCCATAGAAAAATCTACCCTATCCTCATAAATGATAACATTAAGTTCCTTCCAAATGTGCCAAGAAATATTGATTAGTGGAAGAAGTAATGTGCTTGAAACCAAGACGGGTTGAGAAATGTTGCCAGATTCCTTCAATCCTAGGCAATCAATGAGAACATTTTTGGAATCGAATGAATTTGACCTGCAAAAAGGAGAAACTAAGGGCAGATGGAACCCTAATCTCTGGAGATTCATCTAGAGATATTTGAAGGAAGCCACAATAGATGACTTAGGCCTACAAAGGTCATAGGCAGCTTTGAGGGAGAATAAACCATTGACATCAAATGACCAGACTAAGGAATCCATACTCATTAAATTCACACGCATTAGATGCAGTTTCATCAATCCTTGAGATCCTTTTCCAAACTGGGGAATCAGTGAGAGCCTCAGACATGACCCCATCCCTCCAATATTTAGCCCTCATTAGTCTAGCCCATAAACCCTTATAAACTTCGTAGAAATTCCACTAAAGTTTAAGGCTAAATGCATTCTCTAGAATTTTGAGATCTCTTATGCCTAGACCACCCTCTTCCTTAGGAAAACAAATCTTCTACCAACTGAGCCAGTGATGCCTACTACCACCTCCTCCCCACCAGAACCTGGCCATCTTTTGCTCAAGCAAATGAGAGATGGCCTTGGGAATAGTGTGTAACGCCTCGAAATTGAACCTATCAGAATTAATTAATTGATAATTAATTAATTACTGAGAAGGACCCAAAAATAAGTGATTTATAAAGTTTGTCAATAAATTATGAAAATCATATCATTATTTAGAGTTTGAATCTGATCCTAATGGTTCAATCGGATTTCAATTTGGAGAAACTTGGACCAAAAAGTGTACCCAACTGGGGCCAAATATTAGTCCCAATCAGGGACTACGCACCAAACGGCGCCCTATTCAATTACGCCGATTCCAAATCGACAAAGGATTGAGGAATCAGCACTCCATTGGCTTCTTCTCCTTCCTTATACTCTATAAGCAAACAACTTTAACCCATTCCTTCACCATTTCTTCTAATTCTTCTTGTTGTGAGTTCCTGAGAGTGTGAGGAGTGTTGTGGTGCTGTTAAATTCGTGAGAAGTCACCGGAGCAAGCTGTGGTGTTCGCCGGAAGTTTCGCTGTTCTTTCTTCGGAATCTTCGTTAAGCTTCAAAGTAAGCCTGTAGATATATCTAATGACTAGAATGTTCATATATGTCGTTTCTACGTTCATAAATGGTCATTTGGTTGACTTTTGTGTTTGACATGCTTTAAGAACTAAGAATCATAAACCTTGAATTTGATGTTAAAACTATGAACTAATGATACCAAAATGATATATGAACCTTGGAGAACATTTATATATAGTTTAATTAATGTTTGGTGATAAAAAATGACATTCCCAAAAATTGGCCCGAGGTTGAAGATGACATTGTTCAAAGACTACGCGCAGAACGGTAGCCAACTACCGTCTGGACGGTACCTTGGTACCGCCGGGACGGTAGGCCGTACCGTCGGAACGGTAGGGTAGCTACCGTCTGCACCTCAAGATTTCCCTCTAGCAGTACCTACTACCAAACGGTACCCCGTACCGTTTGGGCGGTACCGAGGTACCGTATCACGGCACCGAGGTACTGTTAGGGGTACCGTCAGTCGAGAGAAAAATTCAGAAACTTAATTTTTGAACTGTTTAATCCTATTTTTGATATCAACCAATTATAATCAATTTTAATATGATTTCTGGAAATGTTTATGATGTTTTGATAAATTCAAGAATCTTGTTTGATGCATGACGATAAAGCTAGGGTGTTAACACTCGATGCTAGACCGCTACTTGTTAATTATGTTGATGATTAATGATTATTATGAATGATGAACCCACTGATATAAAATAATTATGGAGGATCAAATCATGACTAAAAATGATATATTAGTAATCATAAAGATAATGTATTGATAAGGGTATCTAGAACAACTTTAAGCTATACCCATAGTGATGATTATTTTTTAGAGTATCTAGAAGAACTTTAAGATATAGCCATTTAAGTTAGGCCTTGCGGGTATGACGCCCGGTGGCCAGGGTTAAAACGTACGTACGGGATCCAAGAACCAAATTTGAGTATCTTCTTGTTTGGGGGTACCACCCGACCCAACAGTGAACGCTACGTACGCTGTCAGTTTTTGGTTGACCTTAAGCGAAGGTAAGTTTAAGTTTTGAAAACCATTTAAAATATATATATCTTAAACTAGGCTCAAAAAGGAAAAGGAGGGGGGGTTGTTGGATGAAAAGTAAATATTTTTTTGGCTTTTTATATTTTCTCTTATTTTGTTGCTTTTTTGATAAAATGAGGGTAACAAGCTCAAAGATAATCAACTTCTCCAACTAAGGTAACCCAAGAAACACCACCAAGAACCCGAAACAAAATTAAAAAGAGAACAAACACAAGTCAAACATTACACGTATAATAGGCACGTAGACAATATATTACGTAAATTACGCACTTAAGAATATAAAATAATTCAAAGGCTCAAGTTGATTCATATCTTTGACCACATATAGAGGATCATCAACTCTCTATAAGGCCCGTAGTTATGTTATTCAAAGGCCTTTTGGATCACTTTGAACCCCAACTTACCTCAAGCGCTCAAACAATGTGATACGAATATCGTATCGGATAGGGAAGAACTTCGAGCGTTCTTCAAGCTCCAAGAAAGGGGAGGCAAAGAGAGAAGGATAACTTCGAGCGTTTTCGGGCTCCAAGAAAAGAGAAACGAGAGATTAGAATTTTGATATTCTTATTGCTTGAGTAATTATGAGAAATGAGTACAATATATAGAGTAATGCAGCAACACCAACTGACCTAATGGGCTTAGGCCCGTACTAAACCCTAAACTAGATTAACTATAAAATATTAATAAATAATACTAATTAATAAATAATATAACTAATATATTATCATATCATTCCCACCCCCTTAAAAACCACCTTGTCCTCAAGGTGGAGGCTCCCACTCGTGCTTCTGAACTGGTGATAAAACATTGAACCACACACAAAGTCCACCTGGTGAGCGTTTTACAAAAAGCGTGTTGGTTGAAGTGTGTAGAACTGTCTGCTTTGAAACTGGATATTCAGACTTGACAACATCAACAATGTCAAATAACTGAAAAGTTTCCAACGAAATTGAGTTCTCTGCTACCTGGTCTACAATCACGAGAGCTTCATACCTTTTAGTGTCCACAACACCTCATGTATCATAAAATGCAAGATCTGACTTCTGGGATGACTCATCATTTTTAATAGTAACATTATCATCTTCCTTCATGATGTGAAACTCGCTATTGTTTTCATTCTTGGGGTGCGGCTCAACTTTTAGTCTCTCATATCCAGATGTGTCCTTCACAATAGGAGCAAGGTGTATACCTGTTTCTTCCGTCATTTGGATATTGTGTCTTTAGCCGTAAGGGGTAAACTTGGTGGAGGAAACGATGCGTCAATGAGACTTTTTATAGCATCCAACGTTTTTGTTCTAAAATTTTGTAACTCCAAAGAAATCAAACCAGATAAAATTGGAGGACCACAAACCAAATTTTGGACTAAATAAGAGATTCCAATGCCCAACGCATGCAAGTCAGAATCATAATTGGTTTGACCTCCAATAGGGCAAAATGATCGTAGATTCTTGAGAATTTCATCTATGTGATCGAAAAGTGTGCAAACTCCTTCGTCATGTTCAATTTCTCCATATAGAACATTCTCTAGCAAATCAATTAGTTTGTCCAATGCAGCGGTACAAATAATCAAAGCCTCGCTAACCGCTTGAATCGTGCCTCCATTCGGAAGGAAAAACCCTGCTCCATTTGAAAAAATATGAATCTGGTCATAGCCGACCAATTAACACATTCCAAAAAAACAAATCGACTTTGGTCCAATTTTTTTTCCCGGCGATAGAATTTTGTGCTGCACTAGTAGCTGTGCTTTTGTCACTTTTTTGTTGTTGTTGGTAAAACACCACAAATTGCAGCACCCAAATTGAATCTGAATTAGCCCAAAAAAACTTCTTACGGACACTTGCAGCAAGATTTGATTTGTTTTACTTGGCGGCTAATTTCACAAATAAGCTTGGGATGGGAAACCAATTTAAGCCCCTGGATGACAAAAAGCTTGGTGGTGGCAACGTTTGGGACGGATCAAATCAAGTGCAGCGGCGGCAGCAACGTTTGGGACAGATGGAGGCTCCGCAGAGATGCGGACGATAAATATCGGTGCGATTAAGATTCCTGACGGTAAATTGGCCACAGTGATGATAACCTCCGATGGCAAAAAGATCAGCACAAAGCTTTCTACTTTTCAGATCGGCAAAAATCTGGGCAGCTGGGACACGTCGGAAACTACTAGATCGTCTCAGATTTTTTTTTTGATTTTTTTTGTGTTTCTCTCAATGAGGACACCAATTGATACGAATATCGTATCGGATAGGGAAAACTTCGAGCGTTTTCGAGCTCCAAGAATAGAGAGACGAGAGATTAGAATTTTGATATTCTTATTGCTTGAGTAATTATGAGAAATGAGTACAATATATAGAGTAATGCAGCAACACCAATTGACCTAATGGGCTTAGACCCGTACTAAACCCTAAACTAGATTAACTATAAAATATTAATAAATAATACTAATTAATAAATAATATAACTAATATATTATCATATCACAATGATTCCAAAAGATGAAAAAAGCTTATAAAAGAGTGAATCTTTCTTTCATTCTAACTCCCATGCATAATTTATCCACGAAGAACATTTTATACACTTTAATAAACTTTATCGTCTAATTATGAAAATATTTTGCATGTCTCCTTAAACACCTCAAGCATAAGAATTTTAGTCTATTCACATAAAAGAACATTACATATTTTAAAAAACTTAAAAATTATTTTTGTGCTTAAACAACCTTAAATTTTATGAAAATAATGAATAAACAAACGACATAACAATCACTCAATAACGAATTTTAAAGAAAACGCCCAACTTGGGTTAAGAAGTCCAAAATCCTTAAAATTTTACAAAACACATAGCACGACGAAGAATCACGTATGAATTCGAAAATCATTTAACTATAATTTGGAGCTAAAATAGCTTCAATCAAAATCGAATTCCACATACCAACCTACTTATGAAATCAAACCGTGCAATTCAACCAACTCAACAACAACTTGCACAACAATTGAAGAAAACTAATATGAACAATGAATCAATTTTCATTCATAAGGGATTTAAGATAAACAATAAAAAAAACCCATAAAAGAAAACCAACTATTTTGGAATTTTCGAAAATTAACACAAACAAACAAAAATGTAAAAATTAAACTAAAAACAACACTTTACAAAGAAGTGGGGAAAAATTGAAGAAATAACATATAGGGTTACCAATTTGTTGAAGAAGATGAAGAAAACGTGAAGAAGTTGGAGCTTGAAGAACCGAATCTGGAGGTCGCCGCTGGTCGTCACCATCCTCCATCGTCGTCCTCCACCGCTCGTCGGAGCTGCGTAGTCGCGTAGATAGCAACGGCTAGAGCCGCTGCTCTTTCTCTGTTCGATTCCCCCCTCCCTGTGTGTTTATTCCCTTCAATTTCAATTTATTGCATGAGGATTCTTCCGGTTGGAGCGTTTCTGTTGGAGAATTGATTGTCGCGAACGGTTGAAGAGAGATGTTGCACGATCGATTTCATCTTGCGGTTGAAGATGTCTGCGTTTTTCTTTTTTCTCCTTTTGTATGCTATAACTAGTACCACACCCGTGCGTTGCACGGGTCATATTTACGTTATTATTTACGTTATTAGATTAAGATCATTTTTTAAAAATACAAAATAATATCTAATAGAATATATATATTTTATTATTTTCAGGTACAAAGTAATTAAAAATTATTGAATTACAATATTTAACATATACACTCCTTCAGGATAATCTCTGTCATTGTTTTTGCACTTAAACCTGGAACCAAAATAACATCATTCGTTGGTATTTTGAATGTCAACCACATCACCAATTATCTAATAATATCCTTTTTGTAATTAAATATTAAATTTGTGTGTATAGTTTTAAAAATATAAATAAGTCAAATCAAAATTATGGCCACAAATTTTGTTCATATTTAATGGTTTTTTACCATTTTTCTTTCCGAACTAATAATAAAATGGAAAGCTTTATATACCACATAAAAATAAAGGAATATTATTTAAAAACATAAAAAAAATTAGAGAGGCTAATTACGAAAGTGATTGAAAATGACCGTATTTATAGTATAAAAATTTTTGTTCCTTTTTTCTATTTAATGGCGCCAATTTTTGTTATAATTTATAATTTTCGAAACAAACCTAGCCCTGTAATAAATGGAAACTTTTTTAATATTCACGCCTCTATTTTGGGGTACACTATAATTAATGACATCATTCACATTTATTATTATTATTATTATTATTATTATTATTATTATTATTGTTATTATTCTAATTATTATTATTATTATTATTATTATTATTATTACCATATAAACATGTGCAAGTAACCGTTGTTAATTGACCAAATAGAAGACAAATTACCATTTCTAAATTCAACACTTACCATATATTATCTATTTATCTCACACTTATATATATTTTTTATATTCTTCCAACCAAAATAAGGTATAATTTTCTTCTACATTTGTCATTATTATTACACTTGTTATCATGTTTATTATTATTTTTATTATTCTTATTACTATTACATTAATTATTATTACGATATACACATACATTTTTGTATTCTTTCAACAAAAATAAAGTATAATAAATTTAGCTTATTAATAAAAACTAAAATTTTTTATTAAAGAAACGAAAACTTTTTATTAAAAAATACTTTGACTTCTTTTGGGAAATGTATCAATAAGCCTTGTCAGCCCCTTCATAATAATAAGTATAATTTTGGGACACACTATAATTGATGAAGTCTCTTTTTTTATAATTTATAATTTTATCAGAGCAAACCTAGTCCTTTAACAAATGAAAACTTTTTAGTAATGGCGTCTATTTTGCGGTATACCATAATTAATGGCACTATACACATTTATTATTGTTATTATTGTATGGTACATCAAACACACTCATCTTTCTGTAATTGTTTATATTCTTAACATTTTTATTTTACTGATTTCATTACTTATTTCGACGAAAAGGTAATAGTTATTTCATTCAAAAATAATATATTTCCATAAAAGGTAATAATGTAACGTAAATATGTAAACGATTTCCGAAAAGGAAACAAAATATAAAATAATTTATTTATATAAACTTTTGTTTAGTACCCGAATTTTACATAATTGGAAGTGATATAATAAAAAAATTTATTACCATTTTTATTTTATCGTTTTTATTACTATTTCAATGAAAATGTAATAATAATGTATGGTACATAAAATGCATTCATCTTTGTTTAATTATTTATATTCTTACCATTTTTATTTTAGTATTTTTGTTAGTATTTCGACGAAAAGGCTAGGTAATAATGTATTTCTTCCAAAAAATAATATATTTCCATAAAAGGTACTCCCTCCCTCCTGAAATGATCATTCCATGATTTTTATTCGTCAAATTTTGTAAACTTTGACCTCTATGTATGGAATAAATACAATGTATTTCGATATAAATATAATATCAATAGTTTCCTTATGAAACGTAGTTTTGAAATATTAAATTTACATAAAATATATCTATGTATAAATGTAGATATTAATGGTCAAAGTATAAATTGGAGATCGCGAAAAGTCAAATGAGAAAATCATTTCCGAACGGATGGAATATTAATATAACGTAATTATATCAACAGATGGGTTCTATAGCCACTCAAAAAGAGTGACTACGGAAGCCACTCACCCAATTGGGACACTTACGGTACTCCGTTCACAAAATTGATAGTTTTTAACCCCTCTAGCCCCTTGGTAAACCCCCACCCGATTCGGACCCCAACTAACCACGTCAATTGTGGGGTGCAAATTTAGTTGACTTTGGAGTAAAAAATTAACATCAAAGGTAAAAAGTTAACATTATTTATATTTATTTTAATAATGTATATTTTAGTTTATAACCAAAATTTTCATTAAAAGTAATAAAAATTTATTTTCTCTTTAAAAGGTAATATATTACCATAAGATTGAAAGCTAAGCGTAAAATTTTTAAAAGCTATTAAAACCTTTCCATAATTAAATTGACATTATATAAAAGATATATTGGGCAATAGTGTAAAAAAGTTTCCTAAAAATAAACATTATTTCAAAACTATTTCCATTCTTACCTTTTTTTAGCTTAGTATTTTTATTGCTATTTCAACGTAATACATGCCTAACAAAAATAATATATTTATATAAAAATATTCAACCGTTTAACAATTATAAATTACTCCGTATTACACACGTGAGCGTTCTATTTCAATATTATTAAACACGGAAACTTGATATATTATTAAAAATTCCATAATATAATACGTCATATGCACATTTATTATTAATCATTACACATGTAAACATTACTCCGTATTAAATATTAAGCACAATTATACATGGAAACGTTCTAAAGATGAATAATGGTCGTGGATCAAGATTCTGACCCTAATAGATGGTTCACAGCGCAGGTGCGTTTGGGCAGGAAAAATTTCCTCTGCTTTTAAGAATAGTATAGATATAGATTGGAATGGAGAGAGGTGGGCTTCTTTCTGTTTATGATGGGTTTGGGCTTCGGCCCAAATTCAATCTCTTCTTTTTAAACTTGAACTCTATTTTGGTCTTTTCCTACATTTTTCTCCAAAAAACAAGATACTTGATAATTTTGGATTAGGAAAAATAAAAATAATAGAATGTAAAAAATGATTAAAAACTACTATTTTTAAAAGAAAATTCAAAGATTGTAAAAATGAAAATTAAAATAAAACTAAGCTAAACAACTAAAAACTAAACACTAAAAATATTTAAAATGCCTAAAAAAGAATAAAAAAACTAACCCAAAAATGACTTATCAGGCTCTAACTTGGCCATTGAGGATTCTCTTTGGGTTATTGAGCATGGCCTCGAGGGATCTATTCGAGTGCCCATGACTCTAGCCAAGTAGGTTAAGTAAAGTACGAATATATACGCAAGATCTCAACTAAATAAATGAATGATTAATTATATTTTGGATAATAATATTTGCTGACTCTTTAGGTATTGTATGATTATATGTTGAGGCATGTTAGTCTATAAATACTTTTAGCGTTACATATATTCTCACTCAGCTTTCAGATGAGTAAGTAGTCTTTGTTGTTTTTTACTGCACGTAGGTAGGAATCAAGAATTGCATGAATAGCCCGTGGTAAGTGATGCACTGCAAAGTGGATGGCCCGAAGTTGTTGGAATTTGAATTAATTACTCTCTTGAATTAATTTTATTTAAGTTACAAGAAGAATTTAATGATGTTGTTTTAAAGGCTTAGGCAATGTTTAATTTATTTTACTATGATAGGTTTATATTAATTACTAAATAATATAAATGAGTTAAATTTTAATTTTTTTTTAAAAAAAAATAGTGTGCATGTAGATACAAAATTAGTAGCAACCTGATTCGCTAATTCGTTGGTTTGAGTTACACGAGCTGGGATGTTACATCATTGCTTCCTCAAATGATTTAGGATCTTCCTCAACACTATAACTATATACTTTTTGACTCATGATTGACTCATCCCTTGATCATTCAATTAATAAGTATCATTGAAAATCATGATCAAATGCCTTTTCTTTTTTAGCCCTCTTACTGTGTCTCAATTCTAGCGCATCATTGTCATTATGATTCATTTCCAACTCATGTTCTTTTGAACAACTTAAAAAGCTAATCATATGTTTAAATTACTAAAATAACCTTAAAAAAATTACTCCAATGAGTCGACTATTAGGGACTTGGGAATACATAGGTCCTTTTGCCTCTTCATAGGTCATGTTCTCTCAACTTATTGTTTTTACTTGTTACTTATTCTTATTGCCCAGACCCTACTCTTGTGGGATTTAACTGGGTTGTTGTTGTACTTATTCTTATTGGACTCAGAACAGATTAGAAACGGCTTTAAATATAATTATATTCAGATCAGATCAAAACTTATCCTGATCAGATGAGGTGAAGAGCACATGGCCATAGTGATCAATATCATCAAGTATTCATGCCTTCTTCCCCTTCATCCCGGCTCCAGTCATATGTCCTCTAATCTTTCTCTTCTGAACATCTCCTCGTCATCGAATAATCTTATATCAGAGAGTGGATCTAACTCTCTCCGTAATATATATCGTACAACTGGTTGTACGGTGTTTCCCGTACATCAACAGCGAGTGCTCATTTACGAGTAACCGAATGCTCATTTTCAAACAAGTGAATACTCATTCTCAAGTAACTGGATACTCATTTCTCTAAAATTCAGATGATTGAAAATGGGTATTCTGTTTCTCAAAAATGAGAATTTTGTTACTCAGAAATGAGAACTTACTTACTCAACAATGATGATTCATGCGGATGTACGGGAAATATTGTACATTTGAATGTATCATATAGGTACTCAACTCTCTCTCGGCCAAACAAGCACCGTGACTACACATGTTTTCTTTTGTTGAATAACTTAAATTTGAAGGAGACAAGCTTTTCCCTACCTTCTTTTTAATTTCTTGATGTTGAATAAAAGGGAAATCAATTAAAAATATCAACCATGTTAGGGGTACACCAAGAAGTATACCTAAAAAGGATATACTAGCATGTTAATTGTCACACTAGCACAAAATGCCAGTTCAATTAAAAAAAGTTACACCGACATTTTATATCATTATAAACCATCACACTAGCACAAAATCTTGGTACATGCCTTTGAGGTACAAAGTAAGTTACAATTTTTTGGATACACATAGTTTAAATCTAAAAATATTCTCCAATTCCTTCTGTTTTTTCTTGATGGTAAATATAAACAGCCGACTAACTTAACCCCAAAGTTCAATTAAGAACGGTTCAAACGGATAAGAAATATTAGTTCAATTAAGAAAAAATTACACTGACATTTTTTGTCAATATTAGTCATCACACTAATATAAAAAATCAATGCATATCTTTGGGATATAAAATGAGATACAAAATATCGATACATACCTTTAGCCTTTGTTTGGATGGGGAGAGAAAATGAAAGGAGAGAAAATAAAGAGAAGAGAAAATGAAGAGAAAAGTGAAAGAAAATATTTGTTGTTTGGATGAGTAGAAAATGAGAGGAAAAGTGGGAGAAATGAAAATACAATAAAATGGAAAAGACAAGATTGTACGATGAAGAATGGAGGATGCAGCAATGATTGATTAAGATTAAAAGGGAAAATGTGTAATTTAGTTGATTTTCTCTCCAATGTGGAGTTTGCTCGCCTAGGAGGGGAAGAAAATTTTTCATCTTCCCTCCTCATTCTTTTTCTTTCCTCACTCAATTTTCTATTGCAACCAAACATGAGAAAATGCATAGTAAATTGTGTTTTCTCTCCATCTCTTTTCTTTCCTTCCAATTTGACTCCATCCAAACGCAGGGTTAGAGTATAAAATCATCCTATATACAATGGTAAGAGGAGCTTATGAACAGTGTTCCCGCCCATTTTTTTGGGCCGGGCCACTGCATTTGGGCTGCTGAAGATGGGCTGATTTTTTAACTTTGCAAACTGTCATTGAAACCGTGTAGACTTATAGGGCTGCTGAAGATGGGCATGATGCCATGATTATTGGGAAGGTGAATGGTATGCTTTTTGTTCTATGAATCGGTGTGCAAAGTACATAAGTGTGCTTCATTGAAATTCAAATTAAAAAATAGATGTTGTGTGGCTCAATACTTTCTTTTTCTAAAAAGACGTGATTTACTTTATGTCAATTTATGGATTCTACAAATCTTTTATTGAGACATGTGTTTTATACTTTACAGCCTATATGTGTACTTATTCACTAAAAAGTCATTGTTAAGCGCGTAAAGTAGATTTCCAAATCTTTTAATTAATGTGCCAACCAACTCTTTCATGTAGTATAAATAAACTACAAATCCAATACAATACAACTCATTCGCTGCGGAATGAGTACTAAGCAATCCAGACCAGTGGCGGAGCCAGGAACTGCTTATCGGGGGGCACATTGGGTCGGAGGAAATCGTAAGAATTTGTTTAAAAACATTATAAAAAGAAAAAAAATAATAAATTATATCTCGAAATAAACATTTGAGTAAGTCAAAATATAACAATAAAATAACATTATAACAGAGTATTAATTATACAAAATTTAATTTTTTTTTCTTCAAAATAACACTATTGGGATTATCATGGAGTAACAAATTTATCCATAACTATAATTTCAAGTAAAAAATATTCTATATAATGACAATATCATTAGTTATACGAAATCCAATTTCTTTTCCAAAATCACACTTTAATTACACAAAACAAGTCCATAATAAATTATATGGTTTAATTAAAAATTCAAAACAAAATCGTATCCCTACGTTTGAAGCCTGGATTTGAGAGGAACGATGCCTGAGGTCATACGGAAGTTTTTTTTTATAAAATCGTAGCAATAACATAAACGCTGTCGTTTGGCTGATTATCGGGCCTTTAGTTTAAAAAAGAAGGGCGTCGCTTCACTAAAAAAAACTGTTGGGATTCCTCCAAGTCCCACACCAGAGGGAGAAGTAAAAATGGACCAAAATATATAGGTTCACCCAACCCCATTAGTATGAGGCCTTTTGGGAGGTGCCCAAAAACAAATCTGTGAGGGCTTGGCCCAGAGCGGACAATATCATACTAATGCGGGGTTGGGGTGAGGGCACGCGCAGTCCCAACAATTGGTATCAGAGCTTGAGTTATATTTTTGGGTGATTTTCTTGTGTTGTTAAAATGGAGGATAAAGCTGTTTTTGGGGGGATGATTAAATTGAACTCCTCCAATTATCAAAGTTGGAAACCCAGGATGGAAGATATTTTATATATTAAGGATTTGCATGAACCGATCTTGAATAAGGAGATGCCAAGCGGTAAACAGGAAGGTACTTGGAAATTGCTTAATCGGAAAACTGTGGGAATGATTAGGCAATTTATTGATGATAGTGTGTTTCAGCATGTTGCTAATGATACCAACGCCTATGAACTGTGGGAGAAACTCAAATGCATCTATGAGAGAGAAAATGCCCTGAATAAAGCCTCTATTATGAGAAGACTTGTGAAACTTGATTACAAGGATGGGCATAGTGTGGTAGAGCATTTGAATGATTTTCAGGGATTGATTAACCAATTGTCTTCTATGAAATTGGTTTTAGATGATGAATTGCAGGCGTTGTTGCTCCTCAGCTCGTTGCCAGAAAGCTGGGAGACCTTGGTGGTATCACTTAGCAATTCTGCTCCAGAGGGTAAGCTCACAATGGATGTTGTGAAGTCGAGTCTGCTGAACGAAGAAGCTAGGAGAAGAGATCTGAGTTCCTCCAGCTATTCAGACCAGGCTCAGGTTGCAGAGATGGAGAGTCGTGGAAGACACAGTCACAGAGACTTTGAATTCAGGGGGAGATCTAAATCAAGAAGTGAAGTGAAATGCTTCTATTGTGATAAACCGGGTCATAAGATATCTCAGGAAGATGAAGCGAGATAAAGCCCAGCAGAAAGAGGAAAAAGGTCAGACTTCTGAGAAGAAAGAGGAGAAAGACACAGTAGCCCTTGCAGATGCAGATGATTTATTCTTCGTGTGTGATGACACTAACTTTGATGTTTCTCTTCAGGATTGCACTTGGATCATTGATTCAGGTGCCTCATGTCATCTCACACCTCATCAAGAGTTCTTCTCATCTTACACTAGCGGTGACTTTGGATATGTCAAGATGGGGAAGGGTGATAAGTCATCTAAGATTATTGGGATGGGCACTGTTTGTTTGAATACTAACACTGGTTGCAGGTTAATCCTCAGAGATGTCAGACATGTTCCAGAGTTTCGGTTCAACCTCATTTCAGATGGAGGACTTGACAGAGATGGCTATGTTAGCCGCCTTGGTGAAGGAAAGTGGAAGCTCACCAAAGGTTCTTTGATCGTGGCCCGAGGTAAGATGGAGAACAAGATTTACGTGATGCAAGCAAAGATGTGCAGAGGAGATCAGAACACTGCGCCCTCCACGGATTTGTCGCACAAGAGGCTTGATCACATGATTGAGAGTTGTCAGAATATCCTCCATGAAGGTGACATTCCTTTTCCTACCATTCAATCAGATCACGGGGGAGAAGATGGAGAAAAATGTTGTGGTGATGATGTTGCTCGTGATGGTGATGTACTTGAGCCACCTCATTCCGAGCATGGAGTTCCGCCACAGAGGATTCCTCAAATTGGTATATTTGAGAGAGGTTGTTACCGGGAAGAAGTGAAGAAGGTGCACCGACGAGAGTGGGTTCAAGCCAAGCAAGATGGGGTTATATCCTTGCTTGATGGACGTGGTCATTCCCTGGTAAAGTTGCATGGAAGCAAGCGAGCACCCAAGAGAAATCGGGTGTTCAAGTTGAAGAGAAGAGAGCGTTGCTCACAACCTACGAACTTGGCACAGTTGGTTGTGAAAGGTTTGTTTCATATTTATCATCATTGAGTTTTACCTCCCATGTAGGAGTGAGGGGGAGATTTGTTGGGGTATTCCTCCTACATGGAGGAAGGATTTCCTAAACTATACATTTGGTGTTAAAAATGTAATTGGTTTAGAGTTGGTTACTATAATAATAATAATAATATTTATTATTATTATTATTATTATAAAAGAATGAATTTGTCAAAGTGGTGGGGGCTACCACTTGTTATGGGCTGCCACTTTATTGAAAGGAGATTAGCCTTTCTTTGTTTTGGCTGGTCACGGGCAGAAAGGCAGCCAACACAGCCGCAGAAACAGAGAGGAAAAATAGAGAGAGCCGAGAGAAGGAAGAAGGGAGAAAAAGAGAGGTGCAGCCTGGTTTTGTGCTTCGATCGACGACCAAACGAGCTCCGATCGGGATGAAATTTTAGTATGTTGTTCCTCACATCCTCTTCTTCATATCCAACGGTGGGATTGTTGTTTTGACCTCTCGATGTCGGTAAAACTGCCTCTGTTTGCTGCTGCATTTTTGTATGGGTTTTCTCACTTTTGAGTGAAGATTATTGTTGTTTGGTGTTCCAAATTGTTGCTTGATGATTGTGTATACCTCTAATTGATTTAGAGAGGATTCTTGGTGTACCCACTGATTTTCTTGGTGATTAGTGGAAGGGTTCGTGGTTTTTTCCCCGATTTGGGGTTTCCACGTTAAATCTTGGTGTTCGTTTATCGTTTGATTGATTGCTTGTTGTTGTCTTTGCTATTCTTGATCGGTCATATGATTTTGCTCATTTTGACAACACAAAGACGGGAAAATTATTAATTGCTTCCGCTAGAAAATTGAGGTGATTTTCCCAACAAAAACCTACGGAGTAATTCATGAAATGAAGACAGAAGCTTAAGGTTCCGCTTGGGCCGTCGCACGCGGGGGGGCACTTCCCTTGTCGTCAGAGCAACCATAGCCGACGCCGGCAATAAATATTCTTCGCCGGGGGGCACGTGCCGTGGCAGCCCCCCCCCCTCCCCTCCGCCCCTGATCCAGACGACGGTTGAGGTACTGTGGAGGTGTTATTTTTGCATTTCTCAAAATGTATGGCTTACTAAAGAATTACAATGTCAAGTCATTAATTTTATTTTTGAGATTTTTTTTAAAGAGTGATGAGCATTATGGCCAGAACCAACCTTTATTTTTCAGAATAATCTTTAATATTGCATCAAATATTAAAAATAGGTTAGAAAGGATGCATGCATCAATGTGTCAAGCAAAGCAGTTTCGTATTGTTGCAGTGAAGAAAATTTAAAATCTTGATTCCAAATATGATTAAATGGCTTTGGCAATGATTAAGAGTCTTTTTTCAATACGCCATAAATTAAAATAGGTACGGCAATGTGTCAAAAAATGTGTTTAAATGCAAAATTTTATACATACTGCTAGGATTTTTTTTTCCAAATCAAAGTATAAAAAATGAGTATAAATATCTACCGTTGTTTATAAAAGACCCACACAAAAAATTGTCCAAATAATAAATCAACCAAAAAGGTTTGAAAAAGGGGTTTTTCATCATATATGAGAAACGATTTGAGCAAAATGATTTGAAATAAAAGAAGAAAACAAATGAGACTAGAGCATAAGATCAAGGCATGAAAAAAACTAAACTGTGACAATTCTAAAAAAAATAGTGACATAAAAAATACAGTATGTTTAAAAAGCAATATATCGTACCCTAGGGTCCAAATAAGATGACGGGAGACCTTATATCTCTGTACATCTCGGACAAAAGAACAACGGGGTTCACAAAATCAAGTTACACAGATCATGTCTAGATGAAAATATTTATTGCAACTTAATTATTTGAAGCAGTTTTTGTGTTTCTGCGAATAGATCCAAGAAAAAGAGAGATAAGTTTTAAAAATACAAAAACTAATAGGGTATTATTAGATTTGAGAAAGGTGTATACAAAAATTCACTAAAAGATTTCAAACAAAATAGATTTTTTATCTAACAAAACCATTATTTTAGCTATTGCGTATTTATTTTTAGAAAATTTAGTTAAGAATAAATACTTGATTTTGCATTGAAATAGGATACAGGGCGTGAAAGAGACAAAATAAATAACACTGAAATCGTGAGATCTAAACATACATACATAAACATTTTTTATTGTTACAACAAAAAATGCATTTTAAAAAAAAATATGGAGTGATAGAATCATGATAATGAAGTATGAAATACAAAAGCTAACCGAAATATTGTATTTGAAGAAAAACCCCGAAGACTTGAGTTCTTTCCTCATCTTGGATAGGAGATAAAAATATCCGACGGTAGCGTTTGGTATGAGCGTTAGCGTTTTGAAAAGGCTATCCAACGGTAGCCTTTAAAGTTAGCGTTTTCAGAATTAATCTACACCATTAAAATTTTATTCAAAACGCTAACGCTAATCAAAAACGCTGTTCCCAAACAAAGCCTAAACCCAATCAAGGAAAATGTGTTATCCTCTGCCATAAAATGTAGAGATGGCTGGCTAGAATTTCATTGCCTTCCAAGATGAGGATACTAGCGGCGGGTCGGAGAGAGAGAGAGATAGAGAGAGAATTGGGTTTAGGATAGTTGAAGAAGGGATGGAAGAGTAATAGGGCCATGTTTTTATTGGGTTGGGCTGAAGGATGGGCCGGTAGGTTGGGTTGCTGAAATGAATATTTAATCCAAAAAACAATACCCATAGTCCCATACATAACACCACAATTTAAATACTCTGTATTTTTTGTACAATTTGGTGAGAAGTTAAATACTCTCGCCGTCCTTTAAAAAAGTTCCCGTTTTGACTTTTTGATGATTTAAGGAGAGTGTATTTTGGTGTTAACTTTCCAAAAAAGTCCTTTGATGTGATACATAAAGTAGGATTGGATGAATAGATTAATAGAAAAAAAAGTGTGATGTGATAAGTAAGTTAAGAATTAGTAGGGATAAAAGTGACTTTTTTAAAAGGAAATGAGAAATGTTTTTTAGGATAGATGAAAAAAGAAAGTGAAACTTTTTTGCGGGACGGGGAGAGTAGTAAAAAGTGTGGCATGTGATATGTGGTCTAATAGTTTCCTTTCCATACTTCACATGGATTGAAAATTTTATGTTGGGATGTTTTTTTTTTTGTAAAACATCAAATTTTTAAAATTTTAGAAAGAAGTGAAAAAAATTAGAAAAGTTTGAGAAAATTTAAAGAGTTTGAAAAATGAAGTATTGATAAAAATATTGTTCTTTAAAATTTCATATTTTTAGCAAAGACAATTATATTTCATTTTTAAAATTTTCTCACACTTTCTCTTTCTAATCATAGTTTTGTGAGAAAATTGAAAGGAGTAATAGTTTTGGCACTCATTTTTCACATAAATAAACTTTCTTCCTTTTCACGATAATATTTCACATTCAAAAAGACCGATTTGAAACAAATTTGAGATTGTTAGAAAATGTTATCTTATAATTTAATAACTAGAGTCTATAAGAACATCACGCAACTCTTTTAAGTTAAATTCTTAAATTATAAAGAGCATCATATATATGCGTAGGTACAATTTTTCACATATTGATAACTAATAAAAGTATAAAACTCAAGAACCATTTACATCGGTGCACGTACACACACTACTCAAAAAATGCATGCATTTTTATTTAATTTATCATAAACCATACGTTAATGTTACTTTATTTGTATTAAGCTTTCATTCTTAAAAGCACGGTTCCAGTGACATTGCGTACTGTTGACAATGTTGTACCATTTCTGATTTTGAACATCTATGATTTCAAAGTAAATTCTTCTCAGTTATGATTTCATATGTAATAACGATTAGCAAAAATCAAGAGTAATCTTTGTTTCATGTTGGACTGTTAGTCAGAAATCAATATTCGGTCATGCTCACTTAAATCACAAAGGATTAAATTAAAGATTGTAAATCGCAAAAGATTAAATTAAAGATATTGATTTCCAATGAAGACTTGCACTGTCGAACCAAACTATAAATGTAGTTTATAAAAAAATTTTCTAAAACTTATACCACTTCCCATCGATATTGTTTATTAATTTATATTTCTCTTTCTTTAGGATTATATTGTATTATCTTATCTGTAAGTATTTTTATCATTTTCCTTTGTCAAAATTTTCGATGATTTTTTAATAAATAATTTGTTCGTGCGTTACGAGTCTAGTGAGGTACATAATATTGATGCATACTTTTGGGTATAAGATGACTACGGAGTACAATTTTTTGGAGCTAATAACTAGCCTTTTCATCTCCTCGAATCACCTAGCTTTCATGGCTACCGTAATTCCTCCTCTCGCTCTCTCAGTCGTCTTCTGCATTTCTGCCCTAATTCCTGCGCCGGGTAAATAATTCAATTCTTTTCGTCGTTAACCAGTTCATTCAACTCCCTCTTATTTTATGATTTTTTATAAAAAAATGTTCATATGGATGCCCGATTCTGCAGCTTTCGCTGAAATTGTCTACGAGGATGGCTACTCAGTCAGCACACTCTTCGACGGAAACAAGCTTCAAATCTATCCTCACTCTGTCCTTCCGAAGCCCGGATCGTCCGATCTCCTCCTCCTGGACTCCACTCACAGTACTGTGTACACTGTATCAATCCCCGAGTCTGGAGGTAATTCATTGATTTGATACGGTGGTTGTGTTTTGTGAGGTGGAATTTGGGTCGGTAGTGGTCTCTGATGTTTGATTGTTTGACATTTGAGCGTTTTAGAGGTCTCTGCTGAACGGTTGGCCGGAAATGGAGTCGGTAATTACTCTGACGGCGATCTGAGCTCTGCGATGTTCTACAAGCCCAAGAGCTTTGAGATTGATGCTAGGGGAAACATTTATGTTGCTGATGCTAAGAACAAGCATTCTATTAGAAAGATTAGAAAATCTGGTATGTGAATGTGTGATGCCCTTTAAGTAGCTGTATGTTTTTTAGTTTTTGTACTGCGAAATTGTGAATGCAGCTTCATGTGATCAGTGTCTCCATGGCAGAGCTTGAAGCCATCCGGTCAAAATTGCCTAACATTTTCTAGCTTCTTTAGAGTTACTCTTATTTTGGGCATGTCAGTTTTTTTTTTTTTTTTGTAATGGAGTCTGGACGCTTGTGTCCATTTCTTGTGTTGTGTTAAGGCATTTTGTTGGCATACATGGTTTTCAAGACTTCTATGAGGGTTGGCAGTGGAATTAAGATACACATGTGAGGTTTAGATTAAATGATATGCTAGAAATCACCCCCAAAGCTAGTACCCAAAAGTAGATTAAACCTGCTTCTTGGCATTTTATTGCTAAATTTGGGCACTAAGTGATGTTTATACTTAAAAGCGTATAGGGTCCATGTGTTGCTTTTACCTTTTTCTTCCTTGCTCCTTCAAGTTCTTGATGTAGGAACTTGAGTGTCAACCTTATCAGGCATGTAGTATTCACTTTCATATGGAGCATTACCTCTTGTTATTTTATCTTATGTTTGAGTAAAGTATAAACCTTTGTCATGTTTCGTGACATGCATGTTGATTTTATTTTTTTTTTGAAAATTATTTGATTTTAACACCGACCCATATTAGTTGTCTTATTTTCTGTTTAATATAAGATGCATGTTGATCACAATGGTTTGATGCAGGTGTGACTACTATAGTTGGAGGGGTTTCTGATGCAGCAGGCAAGAAAGATGGCCCTGGAAAAGAGGCTACGTTCTCAGATGATTACGAGCTAGTCTTTATTCCGCAACGATGTGCTGTGATCATCTCCGACATTGGGAATAGATTAGTTCGCCAGATAAATCTCAGGGCAGATGATTGCTCTAGTGGATCTGAATCTGGTATACCCCTAAATTAAGTTTCACCTCAAATTAATTGCACATTTTAGAATTCATTACTCCCTCCCTCTCAAAAGAAGAGTCATGTTTCCCATTTTTTGTCCCAAAAAAGAGTCCTTTTTAAAAATTCAACTGTAATGAAGGTCATTTCAGTTTTTTGTAGGGCCCTTATAGCAAAAACAATTTTAAAACTTTGCCGCCAAGTTTTTTTTGGCTGAATAGATTCATTAAGAATATAAATTGCAGAATGAAATGAAGTTGAATTGGAGGGAGGGAGAGAGGGAGAGAGCAAGGAAAAGGGGAGGGATTTTACAAGGGATTACATTTTTCCATGTATCTTCATTGATATAAACTAAAGCCCAGACTGTGTGTGTGTGTGTAGAGATATGTACTTTATAAATGAATATAAAGGTATAAGTGACAAATAACAATTTTTAATCCGTAAAAGTTTGCACCTAGAGTTAGTTGACAAAAAAATGTAAAGCATGTGTCTTACCCAAAAGAGACTCTTTTTATGGAGTTCGCAAGATGCACTATTCTATGGTTCAGAGTTTCAAGTGATTACTCATATGCAAAAGTGTAGCTAAGCAGTTCATATTATTGCAAATAACTTTAGGCTTTTTAGTTTATGTACATCAATATCACTCAGTAGTATCTAACCTTGAATGATTCTTTATTCCAGTTTTGGGATCAACTACGTCTTGGTTTCTAGGGGTCGGGCTTTCCTGCTTATTTGGATTGGTGGTTGGATTTGTGCTTCGTCCTTTTGTCATCCCACATGTAAGTATCATTTCTCACCCTCTCACATGTCAAAAACAAAGCTGTAAGCCTTTAATCTCATCTGGAACTTCTGTAGACAGGGAGGCCGCAGGCATCATTGGTACAAAGGGACATGGAAGCATTGCCTAATGAGTCTGGGGAGACAAGTTCCGATTCTCTTCTTCGAGCTCAGAAGCGTAGTTGTTAACTCAGTATCTTATTCTCTACTAAAGCGAATAGTATATCTTAGTTTCTCACATTTCTCTCTAATGTTTACCCCGCTGTTTAGTTCTAGAAGAGTTGTAGAAACCTGGAAACTGTTTGAAAAACCAGTATCTTTGTTGGATTTGGATCACCAGAGTGGCAGGGAACCATCCAAAACTTATCCTAAAATTATAGAAGTGAAAGATGTGCCTTTGTTGGATTTGGATGGCACTAGCACTACTACCAGTGAACCACCACAGTCAGATCTGGTGGCCGACGAATTGAAGGATTTGATACATTTTGATGACGGGCTGCTCTCATCATACAATGGTGAAACAACCTCCCAGAAAGAAGGTGAGGATGGTAAGAACTCTGGAGGCAACAGTACAATAGATAGTATGGTACAAGCCAATCTCTCTGCTCTTGCAGGGCTAGCAACGACAACTTCAAGCACCGAGTTTCCTAAGGGCAGTGTGTGCTTATTCAAAGTAATGTAGTCTTAACTCTTATCCATTGCTGCAACTTGCTGTAAGTATTAATTCTCACTATCACTTGGTATTGTTATGGCCTTGTTTGGCATCGTTAGCTGTCACGTTTTGAAGATGTGATCCAACCGTTTGCTTTAATGTTAGTGTTTTCAAACTTATCCTGCCTCGTCAAAAACTATTCAAAACAGTAATGCTAATTTGTTCCCAGACGAAGCCTATATGTATGTAATTGATGCTATTGTGGTTTTTACTTTTTTTCCTTAAATCATATGTGGCTTCTCTCCATTTCATTATTGGAACCCATACTAATGAAGTGTTTATTATGGTACGGAGTATTTTGTAGTCCCAAGATAGATTAGCCCGGGGCAAAAAGTTGGTCATCTAATGCAAATGCGCTATAGCCCATAAAGTTTAGGTGTTTCATGATATGTTGGAGGGGGAACAACTTTGGGGTTGAACAGAGTGCCATGTGGGGCTCAGATTGACCAGTGTCATACTATGACATTGATGGTTATTGTGTAAATAATCAAAGTGTAGATAGAGAGCATAAAGTGGACATTGTTAAATTTTCTCTTGGTTCAGTAATGTAATTTGGAGGAAGATTAACATGCAAAATGAATGCCTCGTTGTTGATGAGGCGCAATAGGCGAGTGTCTCTTGAACAAGAGACATGAAAAATAAACATGAAACTAAATCAAAGAAGCCCACTGTATCTCAATTAGGGGAGTATAGTCGAGATATCTATAGCCTTTACCTTCGTTTCAAATAGTAGAGAAGTTGTTTTTGAGAGGATTCTGTTACAGCACAAGTATCTAGATGGGAGCCAGGTGGCGGGTAAACTGATTCTGTTAGCGGTAGTTAGGGCTGTTACTGATTTGTGGGAAGCTGTTATAGTTAGTTAGAAGTTGTTGTGAAGATTGTTGTAAGTCCCTTGTATAAATACCATACCCTGTGTACATTTGGGAGTTATGAATAATAAGACATCACTTTCTTCTTCCTCTCTTTTCTCTGTAACTGTCATTCTCCATTACAATTAATTCGAAGCTCTCATTCTGCCATTAGAGTAGCTTCCTGATAACTGTAACATTGGTATCAGAGCTCCTTCTCGATCCAAACCACGACAATCTGGCCAATACACGTGCGAAGATCAAGATGGAAGAAGCATTGAAGAAGATGATCGAACAACAACGCGATTGGATGGCATCGCAGCTTTCAGAACAATGGAAACTCATGGAAGAACAAGTCTCTCGGCTAGCAAATCAGCTGCAGGATTTGCAGACACAAGGATCTGGCAGCTATCAAGAGTCAGGAAATTCATCAAATCACAATGGAGGCAGAAATCCATTCCATTTTAATCCGAAGATCGAATTTCCATCATTCGAGGGAGGAAATCCACGAGAATGGATCAAGAAATGCAGACAATACTTCTCCTTGTGTAAAGTACCTGAAGAACAGCAGGTAAATTTAGCCTCTATTCATCTCAAAGGTAGAGCTGAAATTTGGTTTAGTAACTATGGTCAAGGGAGAAATAACATTTGTTGGGATGAGTTTGTCATGGATTTGGGGGCCAGATTCAAGGAAGATGATCACAATGATATAGTAGAAGAATTCAATAAACTCTGTCAAACAGGAGACTTAGAAGAATATGTGGATAAGTTTGAAGAACTTAAAGGGCTGTTGTTAAGGAAGAGGCCTAACATGCCTCAGGAGTATTTCCTGGATAGCTTTATTGCAGGACTAAAGCCACAAATTAAGCCTTTTGTGAAGGCTTTTGCTCCCACATCAGTAACTAAGGCCATTAGTTATGCAAGGTTGCAAGAGCAAACTGTGGAAGCCTGGAGAACTCAAGATAAATCCAACAAGCACTCACAACTTCAATCTAACATGGGAAGGAATAATACACCTTTACTAGCTAAGCCTGAATCATCTGCCAAATCCAGCACTCCAACAGGCTATCAGGGTGCATTCAGACCTCAGGGCAGTTACAACACGTCTAGCTCAGCCAATAAACCAACCTTCACGCAGAGAAATCCCAAGTTCATCCCTGCATCTGTCAGGGCTGAGAAAATAGCAAAAGGGCTATGCTATTATTGCGATAAACCATTTGAGAAGGGACACAAGTGTGAGAACAGGGAGACTCAACTATTTTTGGTAGAAGTGCTGGGAGAGGAAGAAGCTGAGCAATTTGAATTGGCTGAGGTGGAAGCAAGGGTTGATAATGACCCCTCCATCTCATTTCATGCTATATCTGGGGGCAATGGATACCAGGCAATGAGAGTCACTGGGTTTGTGGGCAAGAAGGCTTTACAACTCTTGATTGACTCCGGGAGTACACATAATTTCATGGACATCAATCTAGCTTACAGATTGGGTTGTTACTTGGAACCCATTTCTACATTGAAGGTGACAGTGGCAGATGGCTACAGCTTACAGTGTACACATGTCTGCAGAAAGTTTAAATGGAGGTTACAGGGTACTGAGTTCACCTCTGACATGTATATCATGCCAATAGGAGGTTGTGATATTGTGCTTGGCATCCAGTGGTTAACTACTTTAGGTACTGTGGTGGAATTTCAAACAACTACATATGGAGTTTGAATATTTGGGCAGGAATCATGTACTTCGAGGAGCTAAACAAAGGATCAGTGTGATGAAAAAAGGGCAACTAGCTAAAACCATATGCACTATGGCACAAATGTGTATGGTCCAAGTTCAGAGGGAAGATTACCCTATCAAAGGAGGTCTGGAGGACAAAGAAGCCATACCCCAATAGGTGGAAAGGGTGTTGGCACAGTACGAAGGAGTTTTCAACACCCCAAGTGGCCTTCCACCAAGTAGAGGGATTTTTGATCACAGCATTCCTTTAAAAGAGGGCAGCCAACCTATAAACATCAGGCCATACAGATATCCACTTAAGCAAAAGGATATCATTGAGAAGCTGATTGCAGAAATGTTGGATAGTGATATAATTCAATTGAGTAACAGCCCCTTTGCAGCCCCAGTGGTGTTAGTCAGCAAGAAGGATGGATCTTGGAGACTATGTGTTGACTATAGGGAGCTTAATAAGGCCACTATAAAGGATAAATTCCCTATTCCTGTGGTAGAAGAACTCATTGATGAGCTAGCTGGTGCTACAATATTCAGCAAGATAGACTTGAGGGCAGGGTATCACCAGATTAGAGTCAATGACAAGGAAGTGTTCAAGAAAGCATTCAAAACACACATGGGTCACTATGAATTTCTAGTTATGCCCTTTGGCCTAACTAATGCGCCTGCCACCTTCCAGGGTCTTATGAACCATATTTTCCAACCCTTTTTGAGGAAGTTTGTGCTGGTCTTTTTTGACGACATCTTAGTCTACGGCAAAAGCTTGCAAGACCATGTGTCACACCTCCAAGAAGTATTTGGTATACTTCATAAACACACTCTATTCGCCAAAGGAAGTAAGTGTGACTTTGCTGTACCTAAAGTGGAGTATTTAGGGCACTTCATCTCTGGACAGGGAGTGGAGACAGACCAGAGAAAGGTGGAGGCTATAGCCAATTGGCCTATCCCTCAAAATGTGAAGGAACTAAGAAGTTTTTTGGGTCTAGCTGGCTACTACAGGAGATTTATCAGGGATTATGCATCTGTTAGCAGACCCCTAACAAACTTGTTGAGGAAGGGAGGTTTTAAGTGGACTGAGGAAGCACATTCATCTTTTGATAAACTAAAAAGAATGCTGGTGGAAGCCCCGGTGTTAGCCATTCCTAATTTTTACTAACCTTTGTAGTGGAAACAAATGCATCTCAAAAGGGTATTGGGGCTGTGTTAATGCAGAATAATCACCCCATAGCTTTCATTAGCAGATCTCTTGGCCCTAGGTGGCAGAATTTGTCTGTATATGAGAAGAAACGACTGGCTTTAGTCCATGCAGTACAGAGATGGGAGCAGTATTTGGTTGCCAAACCCTTTATCATCAAAATAGATCAAAAAAGCCTCAAGTGGCTATTAGAGCAGAAAATATCTACACCCTTCCAACAATTTTGGCTATCCAAGCTTATGGGATTTTCCTATGAGATCCAGTATAAAAGGGGGCAAGACAACACAGTGGCAGATGCTTTGTCTAGAGTCACAGGAGGACAGCTCATGCAACTAGTGCTATCCACTATTGAGTCTGATCTCTTGTCTCAGATAACAGCTTCTTGGGTGGGAGACACCCAATTGCAGAGTGTCATCCAACAACTGCAAGATGGGAAAAGTGTTGCCCACTTTTCTTGGGAACAGCAACAATTAAGGAGGAAAGGGAAATTGGTAGTAGGAACTGATCCACAGTTAAAACTGAAAATCTTACATTGGGCACATGACTCTCCTGCTGGAGGCCATTCTGGAAGAGATGCCACATTACAGAAGGTGAAGAATCTGTTTTTCTGGAAGGGACTCAATAACGAAGTGACACATTTCATTAGACACTGTGTGATTTGCCAATCCTGTAAACATGAAACCACTGCCCCTGCTGGTCTCCTACAGCCACTACCAATCCCTCAGGAGGTCTGGATGGATGTCTCTGTGGACTTTATTGAAGGATTACCCAACTCTTATGGTAAGAAGGTAATCTTTGTTGTTGTAGACAGATTGAGCAAATATGCTCATTTTATGATCCTCTCCCATCCCTATACAGCGCTCAAAGTGGCTCAATCTTATTTGGACAATGTCTATAAACTCCATGGAATGCCTAAGTCCATTGTGAGTGATAGGGATGCTGTGTTTCTGAGCACATTCTGGCAGGCTCTATTCTCAGTGCATGGGGTAGATTTGTTACTCTCATCTTCTTACCATCCACAAACAGATGGTCAAACAGAGATAGTTAACAAATGTTTGGAAAGCTACTTGAGGTGCATGACCTGCGAGAATCCTAAAAATTGGTCTAAGTGGTTACCTCTGGCAGAATGGTGGTATAACACTACTTTCCATTCAGCTACACGTTTGACTCCCTATGAGATTGTTTACAATCAAAGACCCCCTATCCATTTTCCCTACCTACCAGGGGAATCCAAAGTTGAAGCTGTGGACAGGTCCCAACAAAAGAGAGAGGAGATGATCAAGGTGCTTAAGTTTAATCTGTTGAAGGCTCAAAACAGGATGAAACAGCTTGCGGATAGCCATAGATCAGAAAGGACTTTTCAGGTGGGAGACTGGGTTTGGCTTAAATTCCAACCCTATAGACAAACTACATTGCTGACCAGAAACAATGAGAAGCTGAGCGCTAAGTACTCTGGTCCTTTCCAAATTCAAGCTGTTGTTGGCAAGGTGGCCTACAAACTACAGCTACCAGAGGAAACCAAAATCCACAACGTCTTCCATGTATCCCTCTTGAAGCCCTTCAAAGGGACACTGCCAGCAAAACCACATATCCCAACATGGCTACAGGGTCTGAGCACAGAAGACTTGCCCAAGCCCATGGTCATTCTTGCTCGCAGACCAGCTAAGAAGAATAACATGGCAAAGACCCAGTTTTTGGTTCAGTGGACTGGTCAGTCCCCAGAGGATGCCACGTGGGAATGGGCCGAAGAGTTACTGAGTAAGTTCCCAGAATTCCAACCTTGAGGACAAGGTTGCTAAAAGGGGGATGGTATGTTACAGCACAAGCATCTAGATGGGAGCCAGGTGGCGGGTAAACTGATTCTGTTAGCGGTAGTTAGGGCTGTTACTGATTTGTGGGAAGCTGTTATAGTTAGTTAGAAGTTGTTGTGAAGATTGTTATAAGTCCCTTGTATAAATACCATACCCTGTGTACATTTGGGAGTTATGAATAATAAGACATCACTTTCTTCTTCCTCTCTTTTCTCTGTAACTGTCATTCTCCATTACAGTTAATTCGAAGCTCTCATTCTGCCATTAGAGTAGCTTCCTGATAACTGTAACAGATTCAGGTATATGGTACAACCGTAAGATATATGGTACAACTGGATTTACCTGGAGATAGGTAGTACTCATTCTGAAGTAGAGTAGTACTCATTCTCGCACAAATATAACTATTCATTTTGAAATAGCGTGGTACTTATTCTAAAATAACGTAGTACTCATTTTGAAATAATGTAGTACTCATTTTCACACATTTATTCAATACAATTATGGGTGGGGTTCCCATGACATTGGGTTCCAATGTCATGGGATGACCCGGGGGTGCTCTGGTACCCCATTCATAAAATTGACGGTTCTTGCCCCCCTAACTCCCCCGGTAAACCCCCCCACCCCGCCCCGCCCCGAACACACCCCCCCTACCCCTGTCAATTGCACCCTACAAGTTGATTTTGATTTTGGAGTCAAATTTTGACTCCAAAGTCAAAATCAACTTGTGGGGTGCAATTGACAAGGGTAGGGGGTGTGTTCGGGTCGGGGCGGGGTGGGGGGGTTTACCGGGGGGGTTAGAGAGGTAGGAACCGTCAATTTTACGAACGGGACATCGGAGCGCTCTCGGGTCATCCCATGACATTGGAACCCAATGTCATGGGAACCTTGGTGTACAATTATAATATTAATCTACAAATAACGTAGTGTTCATTCTGAACTAAAAAAGTACTTATTCTCAAATTATTTAATGTTCATTCTCAAATAAAATAAAACCAATACCATAAATAACCTTTTCTCCGCGCGCTTCTCCTACGCGACCTAACCCGACTAGGGTTTTCATCCCCGTACCTCTCCTACCATTTACCGTAGCTTTCTTCCTTGATCTACACGACCTGGCAACCTCGATCTGTTACGCCGCCGCAACCTTCGCTGCTCCTTAGATCTTCCTTCTCCATAGTTTTTTCCGGATTTTTGCCACCATCGCTCCTCGTCATCTTTGTTGTTCCATCGTCTTCCGTCTTCGCTGCTCCATCATCTTTCGTCTCTGGTGGCCCAACCCGGCAAATAGAGGAGCGAGGAGTGGCTTCAATTCCCGTGACTTCCATTCCATTTCCTATGTGATTTGCGTTCCTCAATTAGCCGGTTGTATCGGAAATTCGGTACAACCGGATGTATGATATAATTTGCATATATATCATAAATACATCCGGTTGTACCATACAAAAATTATACTCCCTTCGTGTAAGAAGAAATATCTTTGTTTAACTTTCACGTAAATATCTTTGTTTAACTTTTGACCTTAAGACAAGTATTGAAACAAAAACTTTACGGTTTTTATTTTTTAGAAAAGAAAGAAGTATTGTGAGTTACTCATCCTTTTTTTAATAAAGAAAATAAAGTGTTTTGGCCAGACAAAGAAAAAAATAGTGAATTTTTTTTTAGAATGGACAAAGCAAAGTGTAACGCTTTTCTTAGAACTGAGAGAGTATATGTTTTCAAATTAATCAATTTAGTTGTAAATATTTAATATTAATTCAATAACTCAACTTTATAGATCTAATGATAAAAAAAATATGGAAAATATATTAATTTTGTGACAATAATTAAGCATGATATAAATAGTCGGTACTCCACACAAAGTACTACTCCCTCCGTCCCAAATTATAATGCTTGTTTACTATTCACAGGATCAAACTTCATTCGCTTTCTTTCTCTATTTTCGTTAACAAATTGATAAAATAAAATATTGTTGTCACTACTAGTTTTGTAGATCTTTTGATGTAGTATTTTGATATGTAATTTTTACGGAGTATTTTTTAATTCTATACCATTTTTCATATAAAATGATTTGAAAATAACTTCAGTCAAACATCGTAAACCGAAACAGGCGTTATAAAATGGGACGGAGGGAGTACATATTACTCCCTCCCATGGTTGTCAAGTCGACAAGTCGAGTCGAGTCGGTGACGGGGAGACTAGTGGACTAGGCGACTAGTCGTAGACTAGTCGTAGACTAGTCGACAAATCATAATTAGTATTGAAATTTTTAACATTATATATATCTACATTAACCCAACAAGAATATATATATATATATATTTATATGTCAAAATACCATAACCAAAGCAAATTTATGTTTAAAGATAGCACATAAAGTCACTTAACAAAGAGTACATAACAAGCAAATATCCTTCAATCTTGAAAAATAACACACCAAGAACAATGATAAGTCAAATGACATTAAAATAGTTAATTCCATGGTTTGAGGTATCAAATATCATCATCCAACGTTATGCCACCATGACAGTTTTCTTCCATTGTGGTGTCGTAGACAGGCGGAGAGATACGACCATAGTCATTATCAACATCTTCCTCATCATTAGGAAAAACATCAATCTCGGTTTCCAAATCATCATCCACCAATCCCGTATTTGAAGCACCTCGTCGACGATAAACAATCTCGGCATTAGACGTACTTGCACGTTCACTTGTGCAAGTTGGACCACTTCTCCTACGCAAGTCACGTCCCTCAAGATTGTTTGAAGCCCCAGTTGCCTCATCCACATGACTCCACAAAAGATCATCTCCCAAATGAACAACTTCCTCATTGGCATCTACCCATTCATTATTCCATTGAAAATCTTCTAATACCAAAGGGTTGAAGTTCTTCCCTTGTTCTCGACGCCTTTTGAAGCGATTGACAATCTTGCGATTATATTTCACATACACCAAATCATTCAATCTTTGATGCTCGAGTCGATTTCTTTTCTTTGTGTGTATCTAATTGGAAAAAAAAGTTAGTGTGAAAGTGTTATAATGCATGGACTAACTTCAAAATAAATTATTAAATTTTGATCACTTACAAACGAAAAAGTACTCCAATTACGTTCACAGCCAGATGAAGAACAACAAAGACCAATTATTCTTCTAGCAAATGTTTGATGCTCCGGAGTATACCCACCAAACGAATTCCACCAATCAACTGAAAAAATTAGTTAAATCATAAATATAATATTAAATTTTATTTTAATTCCCACAAGAGTAATTACTTTAAAATGCTTACTTGGGGACATGAGCGTTCGTCGCTTCACTGGTATACTCTTTGAAAAGCCTCCTCTTACTTCATCATATTCACTCACTTGCTTAATAATCTGCATTTGCAATCGCTCATCACCTATTGTCATTTTCTCTACGACCTCATTAAACAAGACCCGAAGCCTAGATGCATATGTCTCATCCTTCTCTTTGAGCAAAAAATACTTGCCAGGATTTAAAAAATATGCAGCTGCATATATTTTTTGCTCCATTTGATTCACCCATCGGTTCTCAATTATGTCCATCACTTTTTTCTGCAATGTTGATTTGTTGGAAAAGGACTCCTTAATTTTTTCCATAGCAACATCCATAGCTGCTATCACCTCCGTCATGGCCGGACGCTCATCTCCATCAACAATTCTCAACACAATTAAAAGAGGTTGTGATGCCCTTATACAATCCTCTACCACCTCCCAAAACCTAGAAGAAAGTACAATGTCACATACCTTTTTTCCCGCCTCTGTGTTTGCTAGCTTAGATTTACTCCAATCTTCACTAACGAAAAGGCTTCTCAACGCATTATTGTGCTTATACATACTTTGAAGAGTGAGAAAAGTTGTGGCAAATCGTGTAACTCCGGGTCGAACAATTTCCTTCCCACCCGTTTTCTCTCTCAATGCAGGATGAAGTCTTACATGTCTGTAGACAAACTTGGTTACACGTCTTGCATTATCAATCTTACTCTTAAAATATGCCAACTTGCCAATGTCTTCCAACATGAGATCCAAACAATGGGCTGCACACGGTGTCCAAAAAAGCCTAGGAATACGAGACTCAAGTACTTTTCCAGCGGCTTTGTAATTCGAACCATTATCAGTTACCACTTGCACGACTTTATCTCTTCCAATCTCTTCAATTTTTTCTTCCAACAAATCTGCTAACATACTTGCATCATTCACTTGACTTGAAGCATCAACCGAGCCTAAGAAAAAAGTTCCTTCAGGACTGTTTGCAAGAAAATTGATTAAATGCCGACCTCTTATGTCTGTCCACCCATCTGACATAAGTGTGCAACCAGTTTTTGACCAAACTTTTTCATGATCTTTTTTCAAGTTCATGGTCTCTTCTTTTGCTTTTTGAAGTAGTGGCACACGCAGCTCATGATATGATGGTGGTCTCAACCCAGGTCCATATTGCCCAATTGATTCTATCATAATCTCAAAACTTCTGGAGTTAGCAGCATTAAATGGTATCCCATTTTCGATGAAGAAATCATTTATATGCATATGAACCCGCTCTTCATCTTCTTTGCTTTTGACAGACCGTTCCATCGTTCTTTGAGTTGGGCCCTTGGTATGTCTTTCTTCAACAACTTCTTTAGGAGTCTTTCTTACCATGCAAGCAACTGATTGTAATTGTGGTTGAGTTAACTTGAGGGCAGCTTGCTTCCGTTTAGCATTTGTACCAGAACTTGGTTGAGTAATAGACGGATTTGATGCTATAGAGGAATCCATAGGCCTATCACCCACATGCATATCATCATCACCAACTTCATGATCATCTTCAACCTCCAACAACATGAATTTTTTCCTCTTGTTCTTGTTCAAATATTGATGCATTTCTCTAGATACCTCTGTTGTTGTATTTGGGCACTTCGTGACATCTCCAAATCCGCCAACAAGATGACGTTTGAACCGTCCTATGCCACCATTAATTTGTTTGTGGCATAATGTGCACTCCACCAGATTTTTGTTGTTCATATTTGGCCAAACGCCATATTTCCATCCGGGATCATTAGAGCTGGCTTTTCGTTTCGGGTCCTTGGATGGATCGTCTTCGTAGTCGCGGATATTATTATCTCCCATTTGTTCTGAAATAATTATTAAATCAAATTGGTGAATATGACATTCTAGCAACTAAACAAAAACAAGAGCCTAGAACGCTTAAAATATTAAAATAAGAAATACAAAACCAAAATATCAATTAAATTCAGAAAAAAATTGAAAAATTAAACTGAAAAAATAAAATTGAAATACTTTATTGAAAAATTAAACTGAAAAAACTGAAATATTAAAAAAATAAAAAAACTGAAAACTTTAAAGTATATCATACTTTATTGTTTAATGAATCAAATCAATGAAAATTAAATTTTAATTTTTCAGTTTAAGATTTCTTTTATTTTTTCTCTTATTCTTGTTTTCTAGTACAAAACCAAAAAAATTGAAATATTAAACTGGAAAAAAAACCTGAAATACTAAAATACTAGAATAAGAAAAAAATTAAAGGAAATACTTTAATGATAACAAAACATAAGAAAACTTACCCATGGAGAGTCGCTGGTGGAGTGGTCGCTGGAAGATAATCGCAGAAAACTTACGCCGAAGGAGCGTTTTGTTGGAGTGTGGATTGCGTGTGGATTGCGTCGCAGATAAGTTACACCGGAACGGAAGAGGAGCGCGATATTGTGTGGTTGCGTCGCAGGAGGCAGCTGAAGCAGCGTGTTGTTAAAAAATTTTAAAATTAATGAAATTTGGGTCGGGTCGGGTTGGGTCGGGTCACTAGGTCAAATTCTGCGGTTTTCTTTCTCCGATTAGGCGTGGCCTAGTCGCGACTAAGCGTCGCCTAGCGCGCTTAGTAGCCTAGTCGGCCAAAGGCGCTAGTCGCCCAGGATTTCTCCTTCTCCAAAACGACCGGACGACTAGTCGCCGACTAGGCGACGCCTAGGCGACGACTTGACAACACTGCTCCCTCCGTGTCAATTTAAATTACATGTTTCCTTTTTTTGTCCATTCCAAATTAATTTGCCTATTTCCTTTTTTGGTAAGGATTTATTTATGCACTACCAAAAATACCCTTCACTCTAATTACTCCACCCACTTCTCATTGTACCTTCATGAACTCTGTCATTGCTAACTGGTAACTGATTCATACATTATTTCGTTTCTTTGCATCTAAATTGGCATATGCTTCAACCAGTGGTCACACCAACTCATCCAAAATCTTTTGTTGTTGTCTGATTATGCAATGACTGTATTGATACAAAGAAACCCAAGTCTAAAACATTTAGGTCTGGTGAGTTTGGTGGTTGACATGTAAGCTCAATATTGTAACCATCAGCATTGGCTGCTTGCACAAATTTTATGTCATTAATAGCAATATGAAGTTTTGCATTATTCTGCTATATGACTATGTGTTTTGTGAGTGCATCTGGTACTTTCTCCTTGATTACTGACAAAATTATGTGAATCAAAAATTTTATGTATAGCTCTTTTGTGATTTTAGGTATGAGTTTAGTCTCTAAAGTTCCTGCTGGCCTATTTTTACTACTCATTTGTGCACGAACCTGAATTATTAGAGGCCAAATGCCTACTTTTCCATCCCAAATTTCCTCCCTGAGGACTAAAGACGGGCCTACCTCCTGCGCGTAAGTGCATTAATTTAGGCATGTGAGCCTTACTTTTAGATGTCCTATGGGGCTCCCTCTCCCTTTTATATACTTTCAGTGATTATTTAAATATTTAAACGATTTTTAGTACATGAAAAATCTTGAAAGGTGGATGAGAGGGAAAGGAATTCTGGAAGAAATTATCTTAACACGAAAGCTAACTTGTTAAAGCTAACCTAGCATTTGTGTGACTTCGTAGTCTCCCTTCTTGTATGCACCTACGTAGTGTGCATTTGGGTACTTGTATAGTTGCAGAGAGGGATTTTATGTTTGTTCTTCTGTGAAATGGAATGCTCTCTATCTGTGCCAAATCCAAACACTCTTTTTCTATCCATAATGCATGTCTTGTTGTTAGTTACATCCAACAATGATCCATCTACAAGTTGGTTAACGCCAAAGTGAACTTACTTTTCTACGGCATATGTCGAAGTCCTTCATGATTTCTTCAATCGTGTCGCGTTGAAGTCTTCCATTAGTTGTCTTGTGAAGAAGATAATCTAGAATTAGTCTTCTTTCTACATTAGTTAGATTTCTCTTGTTTTTTTAATGGCAGCAATAATTTCTTCTTCTTCTTCTACTTGTTCATCATCATCATCATCATCATCTTCTTCTTCTTCTTCAAGTTCTTCTTCTATGATAGGTGCATTCCTGGAACATCTTGGGTGACGTGCTGTAGTGGGACGAGGGATAGCTTGGGTGACCTATTGCAGTGGGATGAGGGATGAAGGGATCTATGACAGTCTCTGTGTTGATGAAGTCCATGGCAGATATGCCTTTGAAATTTTTTTAAGGCTTTGAAGGAACTAAGTATGGCTGTTTTGTGTTTGATTATAAACTTAGATTAGATTTTTTTGGTGTAATAGAGGGAAGTTTTGAAAAGTCAATTTCATTTTTTCTTTCCTTAAACATGCCCTAAGTCAAACTAGGCAATTTAAAACGAGACGGAGGGAGCATTTTGCTTAAATGAAATATTCATTCAATCCTTATTATACGTAGCAAATTAAATAATTCTTTCCCATCTCCCATAGAAAAATGACAATCAATCAATTGGGATATAACACCACAATTTGAATATCGGACAAGTTAACTTTGAGTGGCCACGAAATACATTGTCCCAATTAGAATCACAATAAACAGCCACGTAAACTGTATACCACTGCTTGCATCCCAACAAGTTGTCACAACAACAAAAAAAACAGAACGCATAATGGCACTTGGTCTTTCTCAGTCCATTGATACGATTGATATATGGGGGTGTTTTAGTCTCAAGCTAATATGAAACAAAGATTAGCAAAACAAGGATGAAAACTAAAGTTAAATACTACTACTATACATTAATACTTGGAAATCAGAAGCCGTTACCTATACACTGTCGATGGCGTTTCGTGCACAAATCATAGCAGCAGGCAATTCCAAGCAGCTGCAAAAAACTAACCCGCAAAGTCGCGGCGTCATAACATGTCAAAGGCAACCTGGAACTCGGCGACCTGTCTGGGCTTTGGATTCGACGAGGTTGCCAGGCTCTGCAGCAGTTTGACCACGTCTGAGGTGTCGTCAAGGTAATACCTCGCCCTGCTTGGCTTTTGGCCCACCGTGCAGGCAAACAGCTCTGGTGGGGCCCTTAGCATGCACACCCCAGAAACCATTTTCGTTAATCCCTCAAACATGTCTTCGTCCGACCTATCATCCCCAATGCACATCACGAAATCGGGTGGCTTCCCTCTGTTAGCCATCACTTCCAGAACCTTCTCCGCGGCCAATCCTTTGGTCACTCCCTGTATATATCATATCAATCATTGTCAAGACCACTCAAAATCTTTCTGTGATCAGTGCAAGAAACTCATGTTTTTGCAGAAAACAGATTCATTCGTAGGGTTAAAGAAAAAAGGAATAAAGAGATCATACTTGCGGCTTTACTTCGACAATTTGCTGCCCTCTCTTAACAACGGCAGGTTCATTTGCAAGAACATTTTCCAAGTGATCAAGCATTTCTTTAGCCTGGCAGGAGCCAAAGTCGGGGTCCGCATCCTGGTGGTGCCAAACCAAGGCACTCTCTTTAGTTTCTATAGAGGAGCCATCGGTTGCATCGGCGTATTGTTTCATTACGGGTAGAACAATTTCTTTCCACTCTATATCCGCACTCATGCATTTCCAATCTGAGCTTTTATTCCACCTGTTTCCCAAAAAGAAAAGTTACCCAGTCAAAGACAAGCATTAGGGTTTTTTAGAGCAGAGAAAAAACATGGAGAACGAGTAGTTAAGGTCATACCTTATGAAGTAACCATGTTCAGCAGCGAGCCCGAGTCTGTCACATGGCTCAAGCCATTCACTCAAGGAACTCCTTCCTCGGCCGCTCACAATAAACACTGTGTTCTTGGGATCATTAGAGAGGGCACTCAGGCATTGAATAACTTCAGCACTAGGAGATCTAGCTATAGACGCTTGAGGTACGATGGTACCATCATAGTCTAAAAATATTGCCCGTCTGCTTGTCCTTTTGTAAGAAGACAGTATGCAATCAATGGACAACTTTCTAAAACTTGGAGAGAGTGAGAGAACTCTGAAATGTAGCCCCAACCCAACACCCCAACAGCGCTTGCTATAATGATCCTTACATGCCCTCTCCAAATCCTGCATAAAGCTGCGAGCCCAATACGCAACATCATGGGAGCTAATGTATCTGTAGTGTTTTTCATGCCTCAATTGCTTTTCGGATTCTGACATTGTAATGGCCACATTCAGTGCCTCAGCAACTGCTTCAATATCCCATGGATTCACTCTAAGTGCTCCACTCAAAGATGGTGAACAACCAATGAACTCAGATACAACGAGCATGCTAGTCCGTCGGGCAGAATCAGATTTGATACCCATTGCCTCATCCATACCAGAAGACCCCTGCCTGCATACAACGTACTTATAAGGTACCAAATTCATCCCATCTCTGACTGCATTGACTATGCAGCATTCTGCCACAGCATAATATGCAGTCTTCTCATAGCGAGCAGCAGGACGGTCGATCAATACCACAGGTTCGTAACCGGGTTGACCGAACCGTTCATTGATTCTTTTAGTAGTTGAATATGTTTCCCGCTTCGCTTCCTGAACATCTTTTCCAGAGCTCCGAGCAGGGTTCACTATTTGTATAAGAACCAGCTTTCCTCGGAATTCCTGATAATGCTCCAATAGATGTTCAAAAGCTAATAATTTCAAACTGATGCCTTTAAAGATGTCCATATCATCCACTCCTAGAATTACCTTTTTACCCTTAAAATGCTCTTGGATTTCTTTGACCTTGTTAATCGTGGAGGAAAAGTTCAGCACCGACTCCAATCTGCCCATATGTATACCCACCGGCAGAATTTTTATATAAACGGTACGACCAAAGTAATCGAGTCCGATATGCCCACGTTTAGATTCATAGTCCAGGCCTAACATCCTGCTGCAACATGACAGAAAATGGCGTGCATAATCAAAAGTATGAAAACCAATTAGATCGCAATTCAGCAGCCCTTTAAGAATGTCATCCCTGACTGGCAAAGTCCGGTATATTTCTGAAGAGGGGAATGGGCTGTGGTGAAAAAACCCAAGTTTGACTCGGTGGTAACGCTTCCTCAGAAATGTTGGGAGAACCATTAGATGATAATCATGTATCCATATGTAGTCATTATCAGGATTTACCACTTCCATCACCTTGTCTGCAAATAGCTTATTAGCAGATACATATGCCTGCCACAGATGACGATTGTATCTGTCTCCATGGTCAAGGGACATTGGTAACATGTAGTGGAAAAGAGGCCACAGGTACTGCTTACAGAACCCATAGTAAAATTTCTTGTGAATTTCTGGGGGTAGAAAAGTTGGAACACACTTGAACTCATCCAACAGTCTCTGTGCAACTTCCTCTTGTTCACTGGGTTCTATTTCAACCTTGAGGGATCCCACATACAAAAACTCGGTTTCCGGAGAAAACCCATCTTTCATTTGTAAAAGAAGGGAGTCCTCGTCCAGACTGAAACGCCACTGTGAAGTTTCCTTGTCCCTTTGAGCATGCAGAGGCAACATATTAGAAACCACGACTTTACGATCTTTACAAATGGACGGGTCGCCATCTGAATCACAATCATTGCTTCCATCAGCAATGATTCCGGGAACCGTCAT